GAGTTGTAATGATTTTAAAGGTTTTGGATATTTCATTTGGAGGATTTATTATTTAGTTTTACTATTCTTAGTTATTTCTTTTGTAATCAAATGCTTGTTTATATACTTAATTGTTTGGTGTAACTCGGATCTATGTTTGGACTTGATCACCCATGGCTCTAGAATCGAGGGGTATCACATTTTCTCAATCTTTTAGTTATATTTTTTACTCAAGTTCAATTACATGGATCCTCCACCACCATATGACAACTACAATTCCCAATTTAATCAATCAAATGATAATTTTGATCCCTTCTTATTTGTTGGAGAAGAATCTCAATTTCCGTCTCATCAACCTTCTCAAGTTTCTAACATTCCTACTGAAGTGCCACAATCCAGTAACTCTCAATCTCCCAAAAAACAAAGGGCTATTTGGCTTCCAAATTGGTCCACGGTTGAAGATGAGGCTTTATGTTATGCGTGGATGGCCATTAGCATTGATGCGGTCATCGATTTAGACTAACAAAAGGCAGCGTTACGGATCCGAATTCAAGAAAGTTTTGAGCAACACGTTAATGTGCTGGTACACCTAAAAGAAATCATATTGCCTTCTTGAATCGCTGGTCTTTCATGCAATAAATGATTACCAAATTTTCTAGATGCATGGCCCAGATCGAAAGGAATTACCCCAGTGGGCAAGACAATGAGTACAAGGTAAGTTATTTATTATATTAAATTTAATTGGTATTTATTTTAAAGATTTGTCTTCTAATAATTATTGATTTTTATTTTTTCAGATGATAGCAGCTAAAGAGTTGTTCGCTCGTCAAAATAACACCAAATTTAAGTTTAACAGTTGGTGGAACATTTTAAAGAGTAACAATAAATGGCATTTACATTGTCAAAAAGAATTGACATAAAAAATAAAAAAATAAATACAACCGAAGAAGAGGAGTGGAATCCACATTGATGATAGTGAGCCTATTTGTCACTCAAACCCATCTACTCCATCAAGTAATGCAGCAATGACATCAAGTTCGGTTGAAGGATTGGCATACATAGGCGAAAATGATTTGACGATGTTAAAGAATGTCAGCGACTAGAAGGACGAAAAGCAGTGACGCAGAGGCGAAATAAGGATAAAAGACAATCTGAAAGTCAGAATAATTTCATTAGCAAATTCGATCATGCAACAACCCTTTATCAAAGACAATCTAAAACTCTTGAAGCCGCTCAAATTGCACGAGAGACACGCAAAGCAGATAAAAAAAAAGACCAAACAACAAGACCTTCAAAACAAACTAAGAGGATTGAAAACAAATAAAGAGCTGAAGAGATGTTAATCATGCAAAAAGATCCAGAATCGATGCCAACACAAGCCAGGAAAGCATGGCTAATTGAACGCCAAAATAAAATATTAGCATCTATACGCGCATGGGGTAACTCAAATTTTCCGTAGGATTATCTCAAGCATTCCATATGATTGTCCTGTTTTTTCTAGTTGTTTTGTTTTTAATTCATGTCGTATTATATTGTATTGTTTATTTATTTATTGTATTGTTTAAATTTATGTCGTATCGTATTATTTTTAATAATAAATATTATATTGTTTAAATTTTTTGTATGATATAGCCGTTTTAAGAATATAGTCGTTAGAAAAAAGTTAGAAAATAAAATTTATTAAAAATTTAAAAAATATTAATATTTTTGAAGAGCGAAAATGCATCATTGGAGTACATCCGATAATTAAAATTTGGAGACTCTAAAACGCTAACGTGGATATGAGAAATGCTGACATGGATATTGAAAAATACTGATGTGGCCAATTCAAAAAACCTAAATTTGAAGAGCCCATTGGAGATGCTCTCAAATAAGTTATACTAAAGTTCATTGTTGAAGTTACAAGTTTTACATCCGAATTTTGAGTGTCCAATTAATTCAATTTAAATTAGGTAATGCATTTGCTTCTAAGAAAACCTAACCTAGTCAATATTCATGAATCAATACACGGTCAGATTTCAACCCAGCTAAGAACTAACATAGTTTTTTATACACTAATAAGATGATATAGTGATTGATGTGTACGAAGTACTATGATACTCACCAATAAGAAAATAGTCAATTTTTTTTTTTTTAGCTAATACTCACACACATATTTCCATTGAAGCTTGAACCCTCCATAACCTCTCTTTTGAAAGTAAGGGCGTAACTCATTGATAAAAAAATAGTCATATGAATCACAAGAGGAAATTTACTATAAATTATGTACACAAGCAACCCCAAGTGGCATCAATGTAATGACAAGTCAAAACAATTTCGATTTTGTTTGCTATGTTCGGGAGCACTTAATTGATGATTCGAATTTGAAATCAGAAGAAATTTAACTAAAAATTTTAAAACACAGTTTTTTCTTCTTCTTCTTCTTCTTCTTTTTTTATTTTTTTATTTTTTTTATTTTTATCAAATTCATTCTATCAATTCAGTATTTCCAAACGCAACATAATACATGGTTAAAAGAGACACCTTGATCCTCATAGAATTCTAGACATGTGTTTTCTGCAGGCGTTATTCCATTGAGAAATGGATAAAATGATTTTATAATGAGATAGACAAGTCTCGCAATAATGTCCACAGCTTCCTCTTATTCTATTACTCCATATTGCAAGAGGAATACAATATAAAGATTTTGTTGGATTTACAAAACCTTCCATCATTCATCATATGAATTAAATATAGATTGAAATAGAATTTGGGATGTTCAATAATTTCACAAAATCTTTCCTTTAAATTTTAATTGATGGATTTGAATTTTGAACAATCATCATTGAAGTTTATCAAAGAATGGATTTTATTTTGATTTGGTAGATTCTAACATGTGTGATACATGTTTCCATTCAATTTACTATATATATATATATATATATATATGGAGTGTGACAATAATATTCAAAGAATAATACTTGTATTTTTATGCGTGAAGCGAGCTCTCTTGTTGAATTGCTCATTCAATGAGCATTCTCAATTGTCACGAGTACTTGTATACTCGTCGTCTTCTTATACATGAAGAGTCGCAAATACTTTTCATATGAAATTGTACTTTATCTGAGATGGGTCGAAACCAATGACATTTCACACAGACACAAATCAATGCGTAGGAAAGAACAAGCAATTGCATTATACTTGCAAAAAGTAGAGTCAATCATGCAAACCCATAAATTTGTTAGTTGCAGTTTGTATTATTATTATTATTATTATTTTTAAAGAATGTGTATTGGTCCTATAATACATGCATTATTTAAATTAAAAGTGCGATTTAAAAGTAAGATTTCGAAAACTTATCTTCCATATTCCTGTCAACACTGTTATTCCCTTGGGAACATTTGATAGTTGCAGTTTAATTTCTTGTCTACCAATTACATATGTGATTCATTATGAACCAAATTTCAGAAGAAACTTAATTTATAATTGAACTAAAAACAAAGATCTTTGCACTCTAAGGAACTATTGTACTCTGCCCTTTAGAATAGAGTACTTAATTCGTTAATTTATTCAGCTACTTAGTATCCTTAAATATTCGGTTACATCATTTAATAATTTATTCGGTTACATCATTTAATGAAATGGATCTCACTTAAATAAAATAAAATAAAAATCCCTAAACTAACTTAGATGGTATATTTTGATGGGTGAAATACTTGGCTCAACCAAATATCTTTTGTTGAAATTGCTTGCAAGATAAACTATCCAAATTTATTCGCAATTTATCACTTTCTTGATTTTGTAATGGTATATTATGTGTGAATTTGTGATTGAATCACATCAGCGATTAAGTAGGAATACCCTACTCCCTGGTAAGTTAACAAATCTTGTCTATTTGTGATTGAAATGACCTACTCAGTAGGGAAGTTTTATCCTTCTTAAAAAGGATGAAATTTGATCGAAAAGTAAAGTAAATCAGAAGCAAATCTGTATTTGTCGTATGCCTGATACTAATAAGAAATGGATCGATCAGATCGATCAATCTGGTTATCAACCTAATTTTCAACCCACACACAACTGAGTTAAAAGATTTTAGTATGAGTTGGGCTCACATTGGGAAGTAGAGTTTGAAAATTGGACTGGATTGTTTCAGCCAATCCAAACCCAAACATTATCATTGGGCTTAGGCCCAGTTCAAACTCAATATCCTAAAATGATTATAGATAATAATTAAAAAAAAAAAAAAAAACCGTCGGTAGAAAGTGGGCTCCACATCGATTGGAATAACAGACTGAAACAAAACGTGGCACCATTACAATTTTTGACCAAAAGTTTATTTTAAAAATTAAATAAAAATAATAACAAAGATAACGGGAATACATTTTATTCTTATCTTGTAGATTTCCAAGTATAGAATAAACTTTAAACTAGGCAATTATTTGGTCCACGTGGCAGTCTCTGTTCATAAATATCTATTGTGTCGCTGGTACAGTATTTATGCTGCTCGTTGACTTTTACACCCATAGGAAGTTTCGTGCTCCCCTTTCTCTCTGCATCTATCCATAATATATATATATTCTCAATCTAATTTTGGGCGATAGAATAAAAATGTTTTACAACTCTAAACTTGTAATCTCAGTGGGAAGAGAAGAATTGTTGAAAAGAAAAAGATAAAATATAATAGTAAATATATATATATATATATATATATAAAAAGTTTTTGTTAAATTATATATATTTTATTATTGGTGTAACTTATCTAAAAATATTTTTAGTGTTAGTGTAAAAAATGAGAAAGAGGGAAAGAGAAAAAAAAAAAAATTTGGGTCTTATATTAAATTTCTATATTGGTTAGGATTTAATTTATGTATCAATTAAGAAAAGAAAAAATTATTTTAAAATATAAATATTTAAAATAGAAAGATAAAATAAAATTATTTTTGGATATAAATCTTTAACTTCTATAATTTAATATAAATTTTTTTAAAATTTTGATTCTTTTTATTAGTTGGCTTTAGGCAATTGCCTAAAAAAGGAGTGGCCCTCTCTCTACATCTTTCTAATATATATATATATAGTGTATATATATCATATATAGCTATATACACAGAGTTCGTTGATTATAAGGGCAAAAATGAAGAAAATGTGGAAGAGTAATCTGGCTATGAAGACTGGTGGTGATGGAGGCGCGTGGATCGCTTCTGATTTGAAAGATCTTGGAAATGCAGCCAAGAAGCTCGCCATTCACACCGTCAACCTCGGAAGCCTCGGATTTGGCACGACATTTCTTCAATGGGTTGCTGCCTGCGCTGCAATGTTTGTCTTCTCTTTTTACTCTCTCTCTCTCTCTCTATATATGCATATTGTTTAGTTAATGCCATCTTCTGAATTTGGGCTTTTTTATAACAATTGTTTAGAATATTCAAAATGATTGCCTGAATTTAAAGTGGGTAATTCAAATCATTGACTAAAAGTTCATATAGTAGTATTGGTTTATGACTTTTGAAATTATAGCATAGTCTATATCGTTTTAGTTTTTTAATTATGAACTGTTCTCTTTAATGACAGAGATGCTTTCAGAGTGCTTAGTTGTGACTGTTCATAAGAGCTTAAATTGTAGTCACACTCACACGGAAGGGAATGATCATAACAATAGAATAATAAACCTACTATTTGGGATTTATTTATTTTCATATCAAGAAACAGGTACACTCACACACCCACTTTTTGGGTGAGGAGGTACCACTAGGCCAGAAGGGCCGTGGTGAGATTTAGTTAGTTGATCTCGACCAAAATGTATGAATTATTTGCAATTGTAAATATAGGTTTATAGAAATACCCAAAAAAAAAAAAAAAATTATGCTCTTTTCGGTAGGAAAGAAAAAATTGGATGAGAGGGAAAGAAGAAGGGATGGATGAGACGTCCTAGGGAAGAGATTCTGTATTTTCTTCTTTTTGTTTGGTTGGATAGAAGAAAATAGAATAAGCTCATAATTTAATATCTTTTTTAAGAGAGAAAGAAAGAGAAAATTTTATTTGTTTTTACCATTATATAAAATAATATTTATTATATTGCAATTTAAAACTTGTATAATTTTATGAGAGTTTTAATTTAAAACTTCTATAATAGTCCACTTGTCTTCCCTCTTTTCTTTCGCCAATTTTTGAGCGGATGAAAATTTGTAAAGGAGGAAGACCCATCCTTCTTCTTCTCATCATCTCTACGAAACAAAGGAAGTTTCCTTCCTACCAAACATAGCATTAAGGAGGATATTTCACCATTGCAGCTACCCTAGGCCTAGGTATAGCAATTAGCAAACATAGCATTAAGCCAACACTAATTACTAGTATATGTTTCCCAATTTCCCTCTTAAGCCGTATAATTTGATACTGGTGGAATGTTCAGTACGGTTAGAACCATCATAGTATCATCTTGCAGCTACCCTAGGCCTAGGTATAGCAATTAGCAAACATAGCATTAAGCCAACACTAATTACTAGTATATGTTTCCCAATTTCCCTCTTAAGCCGTATAATTTGATACTGGTGGAATGTTCAGTACGGTTAGAACCATCATAGTATCATCTTGATAGATTTGTAACATTTGTTCTTCAAAGGTTTTCGGCTTCCTTTTTGATTTGCGCATAATAGAGGAGCAACATTCAATGGCTCGGCTTATTTTATCTTGGATGATACTTATTGGTAATCTGGTGCATACTTGTTTTTCAACCATTGGAAATGATAATTTTTATCAGAAACAAAAAAAATATTTGCAATGCACATTCATTGAACTTGAGTAATTCGTCAAGATGGTCTGATAATTCACAGTGCCAACTTTTATTTATTTCATCTACATTGCTGATATATTTATAATCAAATCTATTACCATTCCCTCCCCTCCACTATCAAAAGAAAAGAAAAGAACCATATTAATGCACTTGTCTAGCTCATCTGCATCATTCTTCAAGTATGAGATTGTCTAAATTTTGAGTTTCCATCAGAAAAAAAATTATTATTGTGAAATATGAACTAGTGGATGGTAAATACAGAAATTTTGCCAGGAATTTTGGTATGCCACATGGCGTTTGTAAATACAGAATCTTCTGTAAGACTACTAAATTGCATTATACATAAGCATTTATGGTCTGACAAAAAGAAAACAGTTGAGGCATTCACAAGTTTGAGAGACAAATTGCTTATGTTTGCTGAATGAAACTAAAAAGGATTGAATAAAAGTGAAGCTATGAACATGATTCTATCTCAAGAACGAAAAATTTCTCCTTTTTATCCCTTCTGTAGTCTCCTCATTTGTTCCACACCAGTTCGTGAACAAGTGTGATGTGGGTCCATACAACGGATCTTTTCTGGTTCGTCATTTTATTGCTTTAACTGAATTTAAAATTTTCAGATTGATTTAATGAGCTAACAATCTAACATATACTTGTTTCATGATTCTTACAGTTACTTGTTGATCTTGGATCGAACAAACTGGAGGACCAATATTCTTACATCACTTCTAATCCCTTACATTTTCTTCACTCTTCCTTCAATACTGTTCAACTTCTTCAGGTGATCATCCATTATCTACATTCCATTTATTTTTGTTGACCTCATTGTTTCCCCCAGCTTCTTACTTAAATTGATGATGAAGGGGAGACGTTGGAAAATGGATTACTTTCATTGGTGTTGTATTGCGTCTCTTCTTCTCGCGATATTTTCGAGGTATGATATTTCAGTTACCTTACTTATTCCTGTTGACACTTACGTGACTATAGAAACTAGAGCGGATGCATGTGTTATCATAGTATTCATAGATTGAAAACCTAGCCATCTTCATTCTTATATATATATTTTTTTATGATCATCACACAATTACTGTTAATGAACTTATGGATTGGGGTATTATCTGCAACTTACAGATTTCTTTTATGAAATTTTCCCGAACCCCATGAGGGACTGTGCATGGTCTATTTGATAAAGGTCAGATTACCAATTTGACAATGCTGGTTCTATTGTTTGAGGAAATCCACTTTGTGTAGATAATGTGAAGATTAAGTTTGTAACCTGCCCATCTCTTCCAACACTTTTAATGTAATGAATACTAATAAAGAACAATATTGCAAAGCAGACAGGTTGACCCCATAGTTGACATGCTAATACCCCACCCATGACACAGAAGACAAACTGCAAAAATGAAAATGATTATTGCAAGGGATATACCAGTGTCCTGCTTTCAAGGGTTTTGAGAGGGATAGACAAGTTATTTGCACAAAGTGGTTGCTTTTGTGATCCATACTCGCGTTTTCACGCTTAACAGCCCAAGCATTTACCAACGTACAAGCAATTGCCTCTAGATATGTTTAAAGGAAACTTGACAGTTGACACCATATGCTTCTCATTTTAGCTTATTGTACTAAAACTATGTTGATTAAGCTTCTGACATATATATTTTTTAATTTTCTTTTTTAAATATAAACATCTCCTTGTAATCATTTTATTCCTGCATGTGGAGCTGTTGAATTTTTCGTCATGTTTCTTGTCAAATTGGGGAATACAACATTTAATCAATAACTGTTCACACTATCATGATACCCTTCTAGTTACACAATTAAGCAGTGACAAATGTTGTAGGTTGCAACACTCAGGTACGAACTTAGAGGTAATAAATGTGTCTTGGAAGACGTATGTAACTATACTCGACAAAACAATAAATTCTCCAAAGACAAGTGGCAAAACTGTATGTGGAGGAGAAAAAAAAAAAAAAAAAAAAAAAAAAAAGGAAAAAAAGAAGCAGCAGATATTCCTGGTACTCTGAGCTAAGGATCTTGCCTAGAGAGAATATGCGAGTGGACAGAATGTGGATAAAAGACTGGTTGTAATTTTGGAATTAACAAGAATCTCTTAGACAAAATGCAAATAATCCCACTCTCAGAGGGAGTTTGATTACCATGGTCCGTGACACACCTCTAATTTGAAATTTTCTCACCCACCCCCTCACCATCCTTTAATTATATCTTTGTCAGAACCCCCAAGCATACTTCTACTTGACCTCTATTGATTGGAAGCATGGAGAGGAAACACCCTAAATATCTTGATAATAAAGTTGTGGGTGGAAAGGGTGGGCGGATTTCAATGTTCAGTCCACTCCACAAAACAAATCAATGTATACTTCACAGTCTAGTTTTTGGACAGCTGCCTTTTGGATTTCTTGAGAAGCAGTAGGTAGATTCTAAAGCACATTTTCAAATCTAGTGATCACTTTGCTTCTGTAGGAAGAGTAATGTGAAATCTAATGATCCCTTTGCTTCTGTAGAAAAAGTAAGATAGCCTTTTAGCACACGATTATATCATTTGCACTGAAGGTATTTCCATCTACAAGTGCACTTTTCGGCCGAATGTATACTTAAATATCTGATTGATGTTATTTCACGGATACTGCGTAGTACTAACTTTTGGTAAGGGTCTGATTTTGAATGCAATAGAGGAAAGCTCGTCTCATTTCTTATGTAATACTCGTAGGAAGTAAAATGGAAAATAAATTTCTGTATGATTTTAAAGGTATCCATGATAATTCATATTGGGTGAATGATTAAAATATGGTAGCTTGAATTTCAAGCATGCATATTTCCAGTTATACTACTTATAGAGAACCATTTTCTTCTCAAACTGCAGATTGGTTTGAATTGCCTGGCGCTTTGATCCTTCTCATTGTGGTGGCTCCCAGTCTGATTGCTGACACCGTAAGGAACGACTGGATTGGTGTCGTAATATGTCTTGCCATTGGATGTTATTTGCTTCAGGAACACATCCGAGCATCGGGTGGGTTCAGAAATTCCTTCACAAAGAGTAATGGCATTTCCAACTCGGTCGGCATAGTTCTTCTCTTTGTGTATCCCGTCTGGGCAATCGTGCTTTACATCCTTTAGGCACTTTCTGCAGCCGGTTTGTTTCTCGGTTATCAAACTTACATATTTGGTGACATTGTTATGTTTGCGTTATTACTGTTTGCTTGGTTGAATTGATGGAACCTTTTATCAGAAAGGGGCTTGGACCTAATGTTTATTACAATTATGTATTAGACGTGTGTGTATGTATTTGTTGAAGAAAATGGTGGATGTATTTAAACAAAGAGGAAAACTAGTGAATTGCCAACTGTGCTGGAGCTTCCAGGTTGAGCATTTGCAGTTAGAATGCTAGTTCCACAAGGGTAGGCTTTACTGCGACAAACAGAATGAACAAATAGGTTCTACAAGCTCCTGCATGGTCTTGGACCATTAGTCTCAATTCATACGCAAGTAAAAAGTTGAATGAAGTGGCCGGACACAAAGTTGGCTTATTTACTTGCGTGTGGCCGGACACAAAGTTGACTTATTTACTTGCGTATCTGCTAGTGATTAGCTTCAGATAATGTAATAATTTTTCGTAGGACTTCCATACCATCTGCCAAAAAATAAAAAATTCAAAAATCAAAATCAAAAATAAAAATCTGTTTAGTGTTTCTAACTATTTCAGTTATTAAAAATCTGTTTAGTGTTTCTAACTATTTCAGTTCCTTATTATCATATTTTTTTCTTCTGAAACTTCATTATTCATCACGTCAAGTCTAAGGTCTAAGAGTAATATTCATTTTGCAAGCACGGAGGAGGCATAGGCCCACAGTAGCTATCCCTCTATTTTTTATTTTCTTTTTTTCTTCTAATTTTATGGACTTGGTCCGTTAAATATCCTCTAAATTATTCTAAAGTTGAATTCGTTATAGATTGACAATGATTGGAAAAGAATTTATATATATAATTCAACTTTAGGATAATTTAGAAAATATTTAACTCACCAAGTCCATAAAATTAGAAGGAAAAAAGAAAATAGAGGGAATATATATATATATATATATATATATATATATATAAACATGGATAAGAAAAGAGATAATGACATTAAACGTTGTTAGAGTATGATGAATTTTTTTTAATTGTGCAGTTTTTAAACTTTGATAAATTTTTCTTTATCTTAAAACGGTACAGTTTTCAATTTTTTTTTAAAACTAACATATAGATTTTAAATGTCACGTGTCAATGTAAGCGAATTCAACTTATAGTTAATTCAACTTAAACTTATAGCGAATTCAAAAGAGTATTTAACTTAGAAGAGCCAAGTCCTTATTTTATAAATCTCTCCTAATTAACAAAGATTTTTTTCTTCTTTACAAAATTATCAATCTTACCATACTTTTTCTTTCCCCTAGCAAATGACATATATATCCACTAAAGTTGTTAGAGGACCTAACATTTTTTTTTTTAATAAGTTAGAGGAGAGATGCTATTGAAAATTCCTCAATATTTCACTTTGTAAGAAAGAAGAAAGATAACACGAAGGAGAAGGAAAAAAACAAAAAAAAAAAAAAATAGAAGCGATGATATTGGATTATAGCTGTATCAAGTTATGATGACGAATTTTTGTAAATGGATTGATACAACAATAAATATAATAATATAATTACAAACAAGTGGCCCATTAGCTCAGTTGGTTAGAGCGTCGTGCTAATAACGCGAAGGTCGCAGGTTCGAAACCTGCATGGGCCAAAATTTAATTTTTTATTTTTTAATATCCTCTCTACCCAATTGGGCCGAGCCCTAATTCCATAATACGCTAGTCTACAAAAGCCTCTCAAGACGAACAATATCTATCAATACACACAGAAGAACAGGAGTAAAGTAGCTAGGGTTTTTGTGTCGATCGAAGAACGAGAGCAAAAGCAACAATGTTTCCTTCCATGTTTGCCCGCAAACCTGACAAAGAGGTGGCTCTGAAGCAGCTTCGGACCCACGTAGCCATGTTCGGGGTCTGGGTCGCCGTGGTTCGAGTCACTCCTTACATTCTTCACTACTTTTCCGATGACGATGAACTCAAGCTTGAACTCTGATCCGTCCTCTTCAAATCGATTTCTTATGAGGTAGTAATTCACTCAAACAATATATTCATATACATGTATGTATGTCAAAGATTGTAATTGTACTGTGCGTGTTCAAAATTTGTTTATTTTTCATTATATAAAATATGGGTATGATTACTTTACCTGTTCTTTTTTGGGATTTTATGAATTATAAGTTAATTAAGATCTTGGTGTTTTTTTTTTTCAAAATTATTTGTTGTTTGAATTTTGTATGTAGATGTATATTGTTCTCTGTGATGCAAGTATATTAAACTCTTTCTGTTTTAGAATATGGTAGAAAGGGGTATTCTTTAGTTGAAATTTATCAACTTCGGGCTAATTAAACTCAGATTTTGTTTGTCCCAACATCTGAAAACCAGTAAGTTGGTTGTGGGAACAACAGGGAGTTGTTGTATTCAGTTACCCTTGTGAAGTAATCATGTTTAGGGAGCAATGGAAGTATTTATTGTACTTAAATTGATTTTGAAAATAAAAAAGCTATGGATTCTAAGTGGTCTGTGTGGATCACAAACACACATGCTTATATAATTTCACTATGCTAGGGAGTGATTCCAAGCTTTGAATTTCAGCCTTGGATGTAATGACACATTCTTACTAAAGAGGGTTTTAGCCTTTTAGCTTTTGCTTATGTTGGTGGTGATGAAGTTACCCTAGCCCACCATAGGATAATGGTGGTCCCAGGAGAATGAGGTAAGGGTGAAACTAAGGTGGCCTTTGGAGAGGGAATGCAGTAGTGGAGAAAATTCAGGAGATTCTTGATGCTGCTTTCCTCCCTTCCTTGCACTTTTCAGGGAAAAAAAGGAGAGAGAGAGAGAGAGAGAGACCTCTAGCATTATGGCTAAATATAGATACCTGCGGACCATAGGAAAATATTCTTAGCATGATATTTGGTGAACGTGTATCTAAGAGGACACCTCGTATATTTCTCTAAGACCACCCAGATAGACCAAACATCTGGGAATGCACCTCGGTAAGTCTGCGACACAATCCTCAGCTTATACCATGACCGTGCGTAGAAATGGAGTACCATGAGCATACCTCTCACGGTTAAATAGGAAATTGCTGTGAGCAATGTTGTTTGGGTAGATGAAGATGACCTCTCTCTCTGTATATATATATAATTTGGACCTCAATATCTTCCAATTGTATTGTCGGCCCACATTAGTATAAACAATTGTTTAGAAATGTAAACCAAGATGTAATATTGCCTCGCACTAAAATATTTCATGTTAATGTTTAGTGTGATTATTGTGATACCACCATGAAGTCACTGATCCAATTGAATTAGCTTCAACGGATATTTGGTTTCGAATTACCTTCAACAGATATTTTCTTTCCTGCTTTTATTGAGTTTAAAATTTGAACTGTGGTTTGTTTTCATTGGGAATTAGCCTATTATTTTCAGCTGGCTAAGCTTTTCAGGTCTGTGTGAGATTTTCCCCTGGCATTGGATTTGTGCTCCTATCTCAGCATGTTTATCTCCTTTACCTAATACTTACTGCTGACTGACCCAGAACTGGGTTGGCATGCTGGAAGAAGGGGTTGGCTTGTTGCAATGTGACCAACCGTATTATCTATCTCCTATAGCCAATCTGGTATCTGTGAGATTTCCCCTAGACTTGGGTTTGAGTCTACCTTAACCTAATAGCTTCTAAGATTTATAATTTCCAAACAATACATAATCTCCAAATGGATTAGATTGTTATCGGAACAATTTCAATTTGTCTTGTCCATTACTTAATGGATTGTCAGATTTGGATTATGGGTCTCTTGCCAATTCAAATTACCAATCAGATCCGGTTCAAAATCCAATCCAATGACATACATGGACATTATTTCACTTATGGCTGAAATTTCTTATTATTCATTGTTTAATTACAATTCACTCTTTATTCTTGTGGAACGCTGAACACACACACTTATGCATGTAGCACCTTATAAGTTGGATCTTCAGCTTGGACCCCTGCCACATTAATTTTTAGAGAATAACAACAGTGGCAGAGGGTAACAAAGAAATTGATAAAATACAATGATATTATTTGTACTTTTGAAGTCTATGCAGCAATCAGATTATCTGCTATATAGATTATTCGTTGACATTATTACCTACAGAATATTAATTTATCCTTATTTTTGGTGTTCATGTTGTGCAGATGTGTAGTTGGTTTGAGACGGGAAGAATGCTGGGACGCAGAGTAGCTCTTTTAGGGGTTTTCCTTTTATCTTTTTCATTTCTCATTTTTGGTTTGTCCCTTTTCAATTGAATCCTGAAAAATAGTGTGACTGGCATGCACTTGTGATGGATTATATGTTACTTTAGATCTCAAGCAAATGGAGAATTAAATTCTGGTTTATCTTTTGATGTGGTTGGATATGAACATGGAGTGTTCTTGTGGTATTTGTGATATTGACAGAATATTTTCTTTTTCCATAAAAAGACCATTTGCTTTATTTTTCTCATGGACCATTCAGTGTTCTCTATTGCTCTCCTATTCCTTCCCTATTAACCAAAGAAACCACCATATTTATGAATTATGACTCCCTTTCCTCCTTTTCCTTTCATGTCACACTTCTTTCCTACCAAACACAATATAGAAGGAACAGTTCTCTCCATTCAATTCAAAGAAATTTTCAATGGCTGCCCTCCTAGATTTTAGAAAAAGAAATCAATCTCTTTCATTTCTTAGATATTCCTTCCTTGCACAATGGAAAGTAGCTGCATTTTTTATGATGCGTTACCTTTGCTATCAACACTTCCTGATGATCTTACATGTAAGAAGAATTTTGGTTCCTTGGGTCTATTTTGGACATGAAAAAAAAGCAATTGCTGAAATTTTTTATTTTGTTATGAGAACTCGGCTCAATTTAATTAGAGGCCTTACAAAAAGTGGTCTTTCACTATTATATAATTCTCTAATTCTTTTAAATAGTGTAGTTGTTCATTTATTTAATTTTCGCCTAAATTTTTTTATCTATTCTTTTGTTCATTATCTAATAGACATGAAACAAAATATTTAATTTTATAATAGTAAAAATTAATAAAATTACAAAATAATTTAAGGTAAAGAACAATTTAACTTCGGTCCCGTTACTCTAAAAGAAATTTGAAAGACGTTGGAATTGGAGAAAAGGAAGAGAAACTGAGAAAATAGGATCCCCTCCAAGCAACTACAGCATGTTATCTATAGACATGAAACAAAATATTTAATTTTATAGTAACAAAAATTAATAGAATTACAAAATAATTTAAGGTAAAGAACCATTTAACTTGATTTACAAAACTTCATCCACAACATGTTATGGCACTTTCTTACCCTTTTTCTTAGAAACTTTCTTTTTGTATTTTCTCTACCACCAACATATTTCTATTCACAAATTCTAGAAAAATTCTCTATTCACAAATTCTAGAAAAATTAGTATTACCCAAATTTGATATTTCTACACAGTGATTTTCCTTCTAGGTGCAAGAATCATTTTCTTTCTCCATAAACCCTTAAAATAATTTCAATTTCCAAAGATCCATGCCATGCGAGAGTGATAGAAGGATTGACTGGTTTTGAGAGAAGAATTCAATTGAAAGAAGGAAACTGCTCCCTAATATGAAAGTTAGATGGTAAAAAAGAAACTACTCCCTAATATGAAAGTTTGATAGGATTAATATTATAAATACTTGGAGAGAATCCTTTCTGAGAAGATATGAAAAGTTTACAATTCTCGTATAAGGCTTAACCATATAATGATTGAGGAGAATAAAAATAACAAAACATGGAATGACCAGGAGAGGGAGAGAAAAAAAAAATTTTAAAAATAAAAAAATAAAAGATTGAAATCTTTTGGTCTACTATTAATTTTCACTATTGGAAGAAGGTTATAAAACTTTTAGGAAGATTTTAATATACGGAAACAAATTTTTGGGGATTTTTATAATTGAGAGAAGTATAGAAATCTTTTGGCCCATTATTTAAATTTCTCATTTGGAAGGAAATAAATTTATTCACAAGATTATATTCTACATGAAAGTAAAAATTATTTTGCGAGATTCCATTGATTGGGGTCTTAAGCGACCGTTTACTCAAATTATATGTTGGTTGAGAATTGCTCGGGAATTCATTGATATAATAACTTTGCCAGGTTCAAGAGGCTACTCTTTTTTCAGTGGAAGTATGGTTCGATAGCGAGGCGTGCTCAGAATTTGTCTGGAATTAATCTCCTAGAGTATTTCATGAACCTCAAGTGAGGAAGAGCTTTTACCATTAGACAACTACTCCTTTAGAATTAAGTAAATTTGGTCCCCGGCCTCTTAGAGTATCTCATAGGCAACCACCAGACTGTCTTGGAGTATCTCACAGGCCACACCTGGACCTCCAGTTGTACGACTCCCTTAAGAATAATTAATAGGAATTTGGTCCTAAAAAAATTCATATGAAATTTGATCGTATGTCTGTGGAACATTTAAATCTAAAATCTAAGACCAAATTATCTTCAACATTTTTTTTTTTTTTTGGTATCGTGCTGATTATTAAGGAATGAAAGATATGTGTTGTTTAATATTTATATACTACAAATTTGGGACAAGGTAAATATAATTTGTTAAATAAATGGAAAGGTAAAAAGTCAACTTTCTTTAATAATGAATATAATTTTATATATATATATATATATATACACAGCTGTGAAAAATATAGAGCATTTTGGATTTGTCGTGTCGGCAGAGTAAAGAAAGAATAAAAAAGCAGAACTTTCGGATGGTCCACGGATCATGTCTCATGTCCGTAAGATACCAATAAACCACATGAATACATTACAATGAACTGTTGGAATGTCACATTCTGTTTTGAAATAAATAAATCAAAATCAATCCAATTGTCAAATTCCGAAAAAAAAAATAATAAAATAAAATAAATTAAAGCATATATGCATATACAATCAATACTTTTTCAATAATCACGCCAATTTCCCATCCCAAAACTCTCTCCAAGCAACACACGCACACAAATAAAGTGTCGTCTCAGGCTGACGTTTTGTTTAACCATATTATGTCCTTCCTCACCGATTTTCTTTTCTGACTAATTCTGGGTCATACACGTATATATAAATATATGCATATATTAGATAATTTATACACAAGTATATAGTATATATGATTGATTTGATGACAGATTTGGGTAGTAGGCAGAGGTTGAGGAGAAGGATTGAATTGAAGGGTCAGGATGTGTTTTCAGAAAGGGAGATACAACCATCATCAAATTAATGTGAATTGCAGCAGTAGATGTAGATCGTCATGGATGAAGAAGTACCTGGTTCTGTGGGGACAAGTGGTAGCCTTGCTCTGAGATTGGGGCAGACTGTTTTCTCTTCTGCTTCTCTTCTTTTCATGTCTCTCGGTGTTGAGTTCTACAACTTCACTGCTTTCTGGTATATTTCCTTACTTTTTTTTTTTTTTCACATTTTTTCATCTTCATCTGCAATACCCGTATCACAGATTTTTGAATACCATATATATATATATATATATATATATATATATATATGTATGAGGTATATCTGTTTTGATGCAAAGTGATATAGTTGATGAAACAACCAATTAGAGCAATTATAAATGAAATTTGCTGCATATATTCCCCAAACTTGGACGTTCCAATTAACAAATTTTCAAGTCTCATACTATGAGTTTCTCTCTTTTGATAGATGTATAAAGTTCTAAAAGATGACAAACATACAAAGGAATTGAACAGAAAAACAAGGGAACTACTAAACTGAAACATAAACACTGTTTTAGTTGAAATTAGTAATGAAGTCTGGAGGTCGAGTTCAAATTTTATCATCACATTAATAACTTAAATTGATAGAGTCGGAACAAAAAAGAAAAAGAAAAAAGGCCACACGAGTGGCCTTGGTATAAACTTGGCCTCTCAAAGGAGAGTTAAGGGTTCGAATCTCGTGAGGTATGTATGCGTGAATTTGGTTTACCATCCAAAAAAGAGACCCTAATACTGCTGATTTAAAAATTGTACAGAAACATTTTTTTTTGGTTGCAACTCTCTTTTATAGTAATTTGGAAACAGTGTTCTCGTTTTTCTAGGTTTTCTATTCAAAAGTGCAAATTACTTAGAATGTAGTAATTAGCAAGAGGTAGAACTTAATACTGAAGCACACAGAGAGAAGAGGAAAATGATTTCCTCCTTCAAGTGTCCAATGTCCATTAAGACCTCAAATAGAGTGCACTGCCATCGTAGTGAATTTAGAATTATGTTGGTTAGGAAATTGTTTCACTTCAAGCATTTATTGGTACAGCTAAAAGGGTCTTAATGCTCTATTTGTCCTTTTTTTTTTCATAATCATTTTTTTACTAATACAATTTTTATTTATTTATTTATTTTTTTTTTCAGCTTTTTGGTAACAATCATGGGTTTGGTGATTCCATGGAGTTTCATTCTGGCATTGGTGGATGGCTACTCTGTCCTGGTTAAATGCCCTATTCGCCAGCGAGGAATACTGCTGATTGTTGTAATTGGAGATGGGGTATGTCCTGCTTTCCATTACTCATTTACAGCTAGATATGTTCATGGACACTAGTAGTGACAAGAGGCATGCTAGGCTTGCTATCTTATGACATTTGTCTATCTCTTGGATGACGTGAACCTCACCTCATTCAACGGATGATGGCCGACACACAACACGTGCGACTATTGCTACCATTTCTCGTAATGATAAATTCAATTATTGGATGGCAGGTTTTATCCATTCTCACATTAGCTGCAGCCTGCTCAACCGCCAGCGTAGTGGACATTCTGCTCCATGCTGACGGATCTTATTGCCCTCCGAAATTTTGCAGTAGATATCAGATATCTGCTGCAATTGCCTTCTTGTCATGGTTTTCATCTTTGGCTTCATCTCTTTTCAATCTCTGGCTACTTCCCACCTTGTGATTCTCATAATTAGAATTCTTTGTTTTCTTGAAATCTGTATAATCCTTGATTTTTCTAAATCTGAACTCTGTATATTATGGTGTTCAAATTTTGATACAAAAATAATCCAAAATGATACAAGTACAAAGCTGTGGATGAATTTGGTTTGGTGTCAGGATCATGACATTATTGTAGCTTAAACAATGAATCAGTAAACCATAACATCTGCATACATACACATATATATATATGATGATGATGATGATGATACATATTACAAACTTATCTCATCTTCTGAACATATAGATGTGAATATGAAAATTGCACAGATCCTTTCTTAGTGAAAGTAGTTTATGAATAAGAGTGGTGGATGCTTAATATGTTCATGTGCACACCACCAAGAGTACACACAAGGGTTCACACACACATGCACATGTGAGCAAAGGATTCATTGTCCCTCTCCCAGGCACTCTGGTCCGGGCATATTGTTTTCTTGTGTGTGTGGGTAGGTGGGGGCTCACATTGGTAAAAATTACATCTCCCAAGGCAAGTGAAGACATTTTTTACAATATATCCCCTCCACTGTTGAATCCCATTACATCTCTTATGCAACAATTTCACTTCACCACATTCCATTACATCACTTCACCACGATATAGTGCGTCCACAGGACCAAGACACATGATTCCCTCAATGGAGCAAAATAAGTTTTTTGAGGAGCATGTCAAACTAGGTTCAGCTCACCTGATAAATAAGGTGCATTTGATGTTTCAGTTCTGTATAACCTAGCAGAAGCTTATTGATGGCATTGTGCAGCAACTAACGGCTAGAGGTCATTCATTAATGGAGATCAGATGAAAATATATGCTACAGCAGTTACTCTCAAAGAATCCATTATGGAAATCACAACCTTCAGAAACAAAAACCAATACTTCAGAAACAGCTAAATTTCAGAACCCACATTAAAGATTGGGGAATCAAGTGACACAAATTCTCCGGAAGGTATTCTCTACAGAATATAATCATCTTTCCCACCAAATCAAAAGGCCAATAAAACAAGTAATTCATATCAACCTTTTTGAGAATACAGACACTTTTCACCTAATCTGTTTATGATTTATATACGACTAGACACCAATCTTTCCAATGACGTAGAGCTGATTAAATAAGTAACCCAGAATCCATACTAAGGAGTCTAAGGTTTCAGATTGTCAAAGAAATACAATGAAGGTCGGCCAAGAATCACCTTCTGATTCTTAACAGCTCCTATTTGCGGTAAGCCAATTAGTACTTAATCCTGCATGCCAAGGTATTGATCTGTATTTCTGAATCCACCTTGTCATCAGCCAAGTGCAAGAAACTTCCCCCAGATATTACCATTTTCAGAAAATGGCAGACTTTTAGAACAGCAGCGTCCTCTCAGGCTGTGAGAGTTTATGCTTCTCTCTAAGGTCTGAGTGTGCTTGAGCTAGCATGAGCCTGTCCAAATTCTGAGCTATCATGTACTAATCCAATTTTTTTGGCAATAAAATTCAACTAAATTACAGGGAAAAAGAGACAAATAAGATAACATCAATATAAACTATCTGATCAATCAATCAAACGACAGGATAGAAGCAAGATCAAATTACAACCAGTGTAAAGATTACCACTATTTACACCCCTTCAAACTTCTAGTCAACCCAACTGTTAATTAGTGTACCATCCATATTTGTTATACATGCCAAAAAACAAGTTGATCGGACTCCAAAATCTTATTCCAATACTACAATAATACTAAATGTAAATTTTATGGAGATTAGATGATCACGAGTTGTTACTAGTTTATAACACAATTAATATGTCATGCATAGTGAAGATCTATTATAGATAATTAACTGTGAAGCCTACTCTAAAATATAAGAAGAACTTGATTGCTCCAACCAAGGAGAGAGAACTATGTAAGCTACAAGGGAAACTGTCAAAATTGTAATAATAAAATATTCCAAATTGAATGTAATCTATCATCCCAGAAGGCAGACACCATAGAGTTAATTTTGCTTTTACTTTTACCTCATATGCTACAACTATTGTAATGCAATTCAAATCATACTGTTAAGTTACAACAAATCATCAACGGATTCACTTACCATGGTGAAAAATGCAATTTAAGATATCCATGCCTATTCCAAGAAGAAATCTCACCAAAAACCTACCTGTACATCCAGAAAGATATGTTGTCAAACAGTAATAGAGGAATTACCCGACAAAGGCAAAATTTTAGAAGTATAAAGTAAAGAACGCAGATGATATTTTCCTTTAAAACATACCATATCTATGTTCAACAACAAGATTTGGAATTTCAGAAGTGGAAGTAGCTTGCAACTATTGGGGAAAATAAATAAATCATTTAATTCACTTCCTGTTGCATTTGAGTTTCAAGCATTTCCTTCCTCAAAACTCCTGCTAGTTCATTGTTCCCTTGTTTCACATACCCATCAATAAAAGAACCATAAATTTCCGAATCTGGTTTGAATCCTTTACCAACCATCTCTGCCTGAAGCTTCAATGCTTCTTCCATTTTACCCTCCTGACACAGACCCTTTATCAGGAACTCATAACTCTTTCCCCTTGGAGCAAGATCATGTCTTTTTGACCCAACTCTCAAAAACTCCAAAGCTTCAGAAACCCTACACTTATCACAAAGTCCTCCGATCACTGCATCAACTGTTGAACCCTCCGGCCTAAAACCTTTCCTACACATATCCTTATACAAGAGCATCGCCGAATCAACATCTCCAATCTTACAATACCCATTTATAAGATGCTCAAAAGTCACACAAGTACTCTCAATCCCACTCAACCCCATCTCTCTGAAAAAGTCTTCAGCTCTTCCAATATCCCCAATTCCACAAAACCCACCAATGATAGTGTTGTAAGCCACAACATCATGCTTCACACCCTTGACTCCCATTTCTTCCCACAACCTCATAGCTTCTTCCATCTTCCCATCATCACAATTCGCCGCCATCAATATACCGTAACTTTCCACATTGGGCACACAATTCAGTCTCTCCATTTCTTTCCAAACCTCCTCCACATTTTCAATCAAACCATCTCGATAAAAAGAAAGCAAAATTGTATTAAAAGTGTGTACATTTGGCACAACCTTAACACGACCCACTCTATCTTCAACCTCACCATCAAACCCAAAACCAAAAACCTCTCTGTACATACCATACCCAGCATAAGAACCGCGACAATTCGAAACCGACCCAATTATCAAATTACAAGTACTAACCGTTGGGTAAATGCCGCGAGACCGTAGCATCCGAACAATTTCGATACACTGATCGATCCTCTTTGATTGCAAACATGCTGTAATCAGTAAATCGAACACGAACGGTGCCGAATCGCAGGTTCGATAGGTTTTGACCAAAGTTTCGAAGATTTTAGGTGGCGATGAAGATGAGGACGGTGATGATGATGAAGAATTAATGGGTGGTTCGGATGAACGAATTGCGGATTGGATTAGGGTTAGGGCATGGGATTTGAGGCGAGCGCGAGAGAGGATGTGGATGATGGTGGAGTAGGAGAGGAGGGTGTGGTGACAGAGGGAGTGGTGTTGAGTGAAGAGGAAGAAGCGGAGGGCAAGGTGGGGATTGTTGCGGAGGCTGAGGATAATTTGGGAAACTTCCGAGGGTTGGAAGCCGCCGGGAAAGAGGGATCGGAGTTGGGTCCATCGGGACTTGGAGCGGTGGTGTTGGAGGATGGAGACGACGGTTGAGATTAGAGTTTCGGATTGTTGAAGGGTTTGAACGGACGGTGATGAAGAGGGGGTGGTGGAGGAGAAGAGAGAAAATGAAGAGAGAGAGTGGTGGTTTTTGGGGAAGGAAGTGAAGAAGAAAGTGCGTTTCAGAACTGAGGACGCCATTGAAGGAGAGCAGATTTTGGTACTGGTCTTTAGTTTTCTTTCAGGTCCTTTCATTTTTATGTAATTTTTCATTTGACAGGCAAAAATATTATTATTATTATTTATTATTTTAGCAGAAGAATTAACCACTATTTAAACGTTCTAATGGTGCAGTTGTGTTGATAACTCAGTGGATCTCTCGTCTCATGAATTCTGAAATGTGAGGTTTGGACTTTTTACTTCTACTGAGGCTTTGAAGTGTCAGAGTTTTGACTTTTTATATTTACTAATCTAATATTCAAAATCTATTACTTTTAAAAAAATAATAATAATAAAATAAAGAAAAATAATTCTTGTACCAATAAATTGCTAAACATATTCTATTAATTGTTTAATGATGCAATAAATAAGGAAGTGGAGTCTTTACTTAGTTATATTTGATATAAATAACCAATTAAAAATTATTCTATTAGATATTCATTGTTAGTGTTCGGTGTGAATATTGCTACTTTAAAATAAAAACCGGGATCACTCCATTTTACAAATTAAAATGATGTAATTTTAATTTCCATATACAGCTGCTTTTAATTCAGGTTGTTTTCTTAGTAATTCTAATAATGAACTTTAGCATATTGTTTTCTTAGTTTTTCCAATAAAGAACTTTATAGCATGCTTTTTTCCCAATTATTGTAGTTTTGATTCCAATTCATGTTGTATGTTTGCAAGTATCATTAGAATGAACCTTTTTAAGCTCTTATTCTTGATTCAAATCAATCCTCTAAATTTGGAAGGACTTGGATTTGAAGCAAAAGCAACAAGCAAGTAGGAGATTCCTAAATCTCTACAGTTATTGATGTATTCTCGATTTTTTTTTTTTTTTTTTTTAAGAATTAAGAGAGTTTTTAATTTACTCTATTGATTTAAGATAACTGATATAATAATAGTGGAAGAAAATTGTAGAAGTAGCTACCTGAAAGTGTTTTTTTTTATCCATTGGATGCTTGGCAGCTTTCTTGGCATGGAAAATATTATTCTGGATTTAGAGAGCTGCAACATTTACATAATTTTGAAATTTTTTAGTTTTAAAGTTTTGAATTTCCATACTTATCGAATTTTAATATATCAATATTTTTTGTGTTTTAGTGTGCTTCTAATTCAAAGGCTATTTTTTTTTTTTTTTTTTTGACAAGAAATTAAAAAACTCATTTGCTGATGTGGAGACTTCAACCTTCATCTTTTATTTTAGAAGGTAAAAAGGTTACAATACTGAGTAAAAATTAGTCATACTCCCATCTACAGTTAAAAAAATAATTTATGTTTTTATCATGAGATTCTGACAACCATCTATTTGTGTAGTTGTTGGTGAGGTCATTTCTCAGAATTCTTGGAACCCAGTGAGCAACATGTCATTTAGATAAGCAACAGGGAAAGAAAAGGAGAGGGTGTCACTGTTAGCAAGAGGGAGAGAGGAAAGAAGAGAGTACCAAAATGGTCATAGTGACCTATTATTACACAAATGGAGTGGATAAAATGGAAATTCAGGAATTCATTGGACATAGAAAATAGGGACAAAAAGAAAAAGTCACTAGTTCCCCTAGTATTTCTTCCAATTCTTTTCACTTTTAAAAAGATTACAGTAGGTTACCATGTTAACAAACTCTTACTCTACTTCTTCTTCTTCTTCTTCTTCTTCTTTTTTTTTTTTTTTTTTTTTTTTTTTTTTTTTGAAACAAAGACAAAGATAAGCACTCCCTTTGTCTTTCTACAACTTTAATGAAACACACTTGATTGCCCATCAAGAAAGAAAATGATATATTTGTTAATTCATTTTTATTACATTCTGACGTGACAATAAATAATTGAGATAAATACAACAATAACAAGAATTCTTGTTGGATTCTATCTATTGAAATGGTTTTAAAAAAAAAAACGATCTTTGTAGCATTACTCTATGGAAAGATAAAAAAAAAACATGGAAGAATTACAAATATATCAACTAAAATTAATTGTGAAACTAGAAAAGGGAGAGTGCAGAGGAAGCAGAGACAAAGAATCGTATTCATTTTCCCACTTTTACTAGGTCTTGCAAGTACAATGCTACAATTGACTGGACATTTAGTATATGTATCACTTGCACTCCTTCAAATATTCCAAGATGTTTTTATACTTTGATTGTACCAACAAGAATAAAAGAGCTAAAGGAAAAAGGAAAAAGAACTAAAATGACATTATTCATTGTTTACCCATTCTATTGATGCTTCTTTCTCCAACATTCAGTACTCTTGACCACATGACTATTCTACAGTATTGAACCATTCTAGTTGTGGTCAAAGTGATTCTTGAGGGAAATGTCTCTTACAAATATGATATTGCTTTTACTTTCTTATATGTATGTTTATTATACACACACACACACACAACCAAATCTAGAAGATTAAAGGCAGATGATTTAACTTTATGTACTATATAACAACTTAATCTCATCTAGACTACCTTAAGCAACATTTATTCTCACTTTATATTTATGTGTAACAAGTGAAGTCTCATCTAAGCTAAATTCCAACACTTAAAGCAACATTCATTCCATAATTGAGAGGATCAGTTCCATTGTACCGTAATCACAGCAAGAATAGACATCCTAGTGGAAGATGCAAGTAATAATATCTTTGCCTAATAATGGAACAATTTAATGGTTAAACAAAACCTATAAGAATATGATCCTTTATACCATTCTTTGCTTCAATAAATATGGAAGGGCAGATGTACTCTCTCTCTCTATATTTGTGTGTGTGTGTGTGTGTGTGTACACATATTCTGCTGTGTCATGTCAAGTACTTAAAGCTGTGATGAACATTGAAATCCAATAATATTCTAGTTAGATTTACTAAGCCTTAACCAACTTTATAGATGCCACATGTTTATTACGAAATCCCTAGATTTTCACTAATCCCTTCATTCCTAAGAATACTCCTCCACTTTTTATGGTTAGTAGCATACAGGTCGAATGAGAAGATCCCTTGGACAACATACATGGATTGACATGAACTGCATTCATTAAAAATAAAAAAATTGAGTTTTGTGATTACATACAAAGTAACTGTTCTTAGACTTGAAGGCACATTTGGGTAATTTTAACTATTGGATATATATATAAATCATGATGTATTTAACTTGATTTGCCTCAATTTCATCATCCCATCAATTAGGGTTTCGAATAAATAACATCAAATTAGGTACAACCATTAATTAAATGCAAGCAAAACCAAGCATGTGTATGTGTTGTATTACATGGCAATATGGCATATAGTGATGCATGATGTGTATGTACATTAATATATGCTGAGTTCCATTTGGAGTTTAGTAGATTGGGAAATCATATAAAGTGAAAAATTCGTATTCTCTTGTGGGACATGAACCAATGCCTTATGTCTGGTCCTCTCCCAATCCTATATGTAAGCACTCACTATACACCACTATATCCACAATCCATAAGCATAAATCCCAAGTTGCTTAAATAATAAGCCAATCACAACCCCAATTGGAAGCCATAAATCTTGTTATCTAGGGTTTAAATCACTATAAATATGGGACACCTGAGCTCTTTAGCGGTACCTACCAAACAAAAACCATGAAATATGATGAAATATCCCACTTTGGCCACCCCAAACACAAGCTCAAATTTGAATACACAGAGAACCCATTCAAGTGTGATGGGTGCAAGGAAGTAGGGATAGGGTCACGGTACAAGTGCAGCACATGTGACTATGATCTCCACATGCACTGTGCCCTGCCTGAACCCTCTATCACTCACCGCTTCTACACCAAATGCTCGTTCCAGTTCCTTCCCCGCCCACCCGGCAACAGCCCACGCTACTGCAACGCCTGTGAGAAGGACATCACCGGTTTCGTTTACCACTGCAACTCGTGTGGGTTTGATCTCCACCCGTGCTGTGCGAAGCTGCCAATGGTGCTGGATGATGGAGAGGTGAAGCTGTACTTGTATAGGAAGGTTAGTGCTCCGTGTCACCGGTGTGGAAGGAAGGGGAGGAGCTGGAGCTACCGATCCACCTGCAAGAAGTACAATTTGCATGTGGCATGTGTGAAGGAGATGCTGGCGGAGAGTTGGCACTGGCAGGGGAAGAACAGGAAGCTGGAGACTAGAATCCCTAGCCTGAAAAATACGCTCCAGACCCATCATGGTAAAAGCAAGGGGAAGGTGCAGAAGTGTTGTGAGATGGCTGGCTTGGCTGTCCAGTTTGTTATATCAGCTGTTCTTGGAGATCCTACTACTCTTATCGCTGGGGTTGTCGGGTCATTGATGAAATCCTAATGTGTATTAAGCTTAAAACTTGGATGTCACAGTTTGGAAAAAAATGTAGTCTAGTAAATGCCAAGTACTGTGTTATATAAACGTCTATGTGCCTATAATGTGACAAGTTCTGTAACTCAATGTCTTATTAATATCCCCTTGTACTTCTAAAAGGGTCCAGATTGCAAGATATATGGCTTTATATGCTTCATCTGTCAAGATAGAATAACGGTAAAGATGCATACTTACCCAAAAACACACTGCGAGTGTGACCCAGAATCGATAAATAACTCTGAATTTTCTCCCCCGTTATAGGTAAGAAGTTGAAGTACAAAGACAAGTAGCCCTTCACTGTTCTCACATGCATCTGCGTCGATGCTATTAGATAATCTCCAAGCTCCCAAAACAGAGTAGATCCATGCCATAGAGCACCAGTTAGCACCAATCAAATATCACCTAAAGCATAGTACTATAGCTTGATCAATTGCTGTCAATTATATCAGAAGTTCAAGGTTTCTCAAAAGGAAGCACACAACCAAGAAAAATTTGTGATGATAGGCCCCTTGTTTACTGAATCAGAAAATCCAAACAAATCAACCACAGAACAATATCAGTACACAAAAAAATAACTTTATGACCACCCAAACAAAGTGAGAATGTCTTATGCAGATAATTTGATTTTGATAATTGATTATTGAAATCTTTAGATTTGAATAAACAGAAAATTTTTCAATCTTTATCCAAAGCATAGAAGATAATGTTGGAATAAACTTTTTGCAAACAAATCATAAAATTCCACATACATCATCATTACTGCAGGCCTCCTAAGAAGAAATTTCAAACACACCACATCAAAAAGATTTGGGATATACAAAAGATGGTAAGCATATACCATTTTATCCACACCCATAACTTACATCTGGTGTTGCAACGACTGAATCGAATGGAATTTCAACTCTTTCTTTCACAATGCATCGAGTTTCCCCATCCTCCATCACCAGGACCTTCCCAGGCGGGCATTGAACAATTGCTTTCTTCGCTGCAGTTCCTTGCTGACGAAACAGGCCAAAAACCTTGAACTGTGAATCTCTTTTCATAAGGCTAGGTTTGAAACCAGCCAAGGTAAGCAAAGATACCACACCAACAAAGGTAAGCACTGTCTTGGCTGCCGCATTGATGAAAAATCCCAACCCTTTGGATGATTTTTTGGATCCATTTTGCACTTGATTTCTTTCTGATTCATGGAGACTCTTCTTTGTTTTATTGGTTGGGTCACCACTGATGACCCCATTTTGAGCGGACTTATGTGTGGAAGTGAAGTGCGAAAGATGGCCATTGTCTGAAAACATTGAGCTAGGGCCTCGACTTGGATACGGAGGAAGGAGGAGATCATTGTTGTCCCCTACTGCTTCACTAGCAAAAGCAGAAGCCTCATGTATGACTTCCAAGTCCTCACCTTTATACTCCTTCAGCTTCTTGAGCAACTTCTCACGGCTGTAATCAATTTCAGCAAGAGCTGCCTCCCTTTCATACCCTTGCTGCTGTTGTAGCAACTGATAATCAAAAGGAAGTGGTGAAGAGATCAACATCAATTTATAGATCTAAGAAAAAGAAAATATTATGGAGGTAAGAATGCACTTCCTTTATCTGGTTCCAATTCCTCTAAAACTTAAAATAAATAAATATTAAGTGATAAAAGAAATCAAGCAAAAAACTAGGGAAAAAAAAAAAACCAGAAAAGAAACAAAGCAAACAAAATGAGAATTTTATAAAGAACTCACCTACCTTCTCCCAGTTGCAATTTCACTTGGGGTGAAGAAAATGGTAACTTTTGGGACAGCAGGGTCAAAGTAAATGATAAATAGAGTGCTAAGCTACAGCTGTCCATATTTTCATAACAATACTTGGTCCTATACTGAGTTATATATTTTAAGAGCTTACAGATCCTTATAATATGGAAAGAAGAAGAATCATCCACCGTCGACACTTTTCTCTTAAAAGGAGTTAGTCTCACTGTCTTTATACATCACAGTAGCACCTGGAACATAATCAAAGGTGATTCCTAACGAACAGAAGACTTCCAGGATATAACTGCATTAAAATCAATCAATGTGCATTTCACTTGCAAAGTCTCTGCCACCAAAGATAACCAAGAGAAAGAGGAGAAAAATAGCACCAGCTTTCAGGGATTAGTTCAGGTCCTCACGAAGACCATTCTAGTGCTTAAAAGGAGAAGAGTTTTGAAATTTTACAACCCTTACCACTTCAAGTTAATAATCACAACTTCGGAATGGTTTCCAAATTTTACAACCCTTATCACTAAAAGTTAATTTCACTTCTTCTTCTTATGAAAGGGCAACCACAAGTACAGAATACCTGCACCCCACTTTGTGTGAAGTTTGGACAAATTAACCTCCCATTACTACAAAAAGACATTACCCATGCGCGGTGACATGATATGACTAAAAAATATATTGCAGAGGTAGCCATTAGATATCATTGGCATGGGCATTGAAGGTCATTTTTATCTAGAGTTTCTTCCAGAAATCCTCAAAGCACTCTAGTTCAAAGTAAGCAAACAACATATCAGAAAAGCACAAGAAGGAGATGAAAAATCAGATAGCACCAGCAAAAGGGGAACAAACAATACTGATGTGGTAGCCAGCAGAGTCATAATCCTATAAATCTTGGACTCATGAACTGGGGCTTAGGTACAACTCACTCCAACTCTGTGACGCAGAACAGGGATGCTCAGTGTCTTATTTCTCTTTTGGTAGGTAGGAAACCTAGTGAACTGCCCGAGATGAAGAGCTCAAGTTTGATTACATAAAATAATTCCGTCCCACCTTGGCTCCCCACAATTTTATCTTTTTTTGTCATTTAGATAAACTTGGCTCTACGTAGATTTAACACACAATCAAAACCTTACACTTGTAAAGAGTGCAATAATGAAGCATTTGCTATAGCTTTCTGTCTCATTTTTAAAAAATACACATTGTTTAAATAAGTCTTTTTCTTAAAATCCACCAGGGTTGATAACCTCACATACGTGAATATAGCATACAACTCCCTATGATGAATAATTGATATTCTAAATATATACATATATTTATTGTATAAGTGCACCTGCCATAGGCCTGCCAAGCTAAAAAGGTCACAACTCAATTCGTTTTGAAACAATGTCTAAGAGATAGATAATGGAATTTTGATGGGTCAGCCACGGTCTTTGCAGAAAGGCCAAGGTGGTCCATCTACTAACCCTTCACAGCAACACCTACAAGCGTGATGTTAACCCATGCTGCCTAGAATAAGAGAATCCGCTCAAAAATGTTTGCTTCCTTTCAAGAGAGTATCATCGTCTTCAAGCATGAGCAAAATTATTTCATGTAAATAGCTAGTCTCAAGGCTGAATTCTCCACCAGAATACTCAGGCATTCTATGTCTTCCCTCGTGTGTAAGAGCTGAAGGCTATGCTTCAGTTACAAGAATGTTGTAACATTCTCAGTAGTACATGTTTCCTTGTTGACAACTGTCCTAAGGTTTGCTGGACCCTTGACGGCTTTAGAGTTTCTGGGCAATCCAACATTCACCACTTTGTCATGGACAGCAAACTCCCATGCCTCATGAGACAACATTGCGAGACACCTCTCCCTTCATATGCATGTTTGCTTTGACCAATACAACATGTCAGAATCATGTTGTCTGTGCTAAACAAGTAACCCCTCAAATTGATGACCTCAACTGCAATATCATGGCTAAGACCCAAGACTGCCACATTCATGAAACTTCTAGGTCATACTAGCACCTGTTCACATCACATGATGAGGGATGCTGATACATGCCATGTCTAAGGCGTGCTGACTCTCAAGGCATGCCTTTGCGCCTGTACGTCCTCTCTGTGTCATTGGCAACATGCCCTCCAACCATGTATGCGGAACATCTGTATGCCACCAAAGAGCCAACAAGATGTTTACACCCAGCAAATGCTTCCCTTTGCTGCCCAGCCACTTGCCTTCAACTCTATCTTTTATCCTTGTGGGGCTAAGCCCCCACTTCCGATGCTACTTTGTCCACCATGCTGGCCATTTCTGGGACTACTTGTGGACATTCCTCGAAAGTTAAGAGTGTCATCTGTTTGCCTTGAGGAAGCCTTTGTCATGCCAAGATCATGAAGAGGCCTCCCTACCACATGGCATGGGTACATTGCTGGACTGTGCAAGGCATCACCACCCAGCTAGAATAAGAACATCTTAGGAAGCTACCATTCCTTTATCTCATCAATACAATCACTTGGCTTGACTAGTCAAGGTCAATTGTGTATAAGGAAACAAAATAAGATAGCAACCTCGAAGAGTGATAATAAAAAGTTTCAAATAGATTTTCCATAAAATAGCTCAAAGTGAAAAAAAAAAACCAAAATAATAATACTAATAATAAAAGACTACTGTCTATTGCTAATCTAAACAAACAAAAGCAAATTAATGATCACATATGCTGAGGATGTCATAATGGCCCTTGCCATGAAACACCAAGAACATTTGAGATTAGCAGATCAACATGAATTTATTGCAAATAGCTATAGGCAGGGATACAGACGAACAGAGTTGTTCATGAATAACAATAGGCTCACTTGGACTAGTTCAATAATTTAGCAAACCAAACTTGCCCTTGGTTTTAAACTTTCAATAAACAAGCTGGATCTGAGTAATACCATCCTCAGCTCTGTTGGCTCATGAACGTGTGATGATGGTTCAATATAACTAGGTTGTTATTTACTGATCGGTCCTCTTTTGGCCCCTTTGCTTAGGAGTGGGCCTGTGTGTTCAACTCTTAGATCTGGAGTTCGAGAATTGTTAGAGAGAGAAGAGTGATAAGTTGTTATTTACTGGTCCTTTGTTAATTCAAACTTTGTCAATATTACCCAGATATGTGATGCCAGGAAAAAAGAATCAGCATTAACCAATGTGAACAGAAGCGTGATGCCTGGGGAAAGGGGGAAAAAAGAAGAAGAAAAGAACAGAAGCGTTTTTTTTCCTTAGATACAAAACATGTATATATCAACTCTTTACGCATCCATTCTTTAGCTCAAAAAAAGCAATGTAGCTTTGATAAGATTTGAACCAATGCATATAAAATTGGAGTAAGACCTATTTAGGTTTCCTAGTAGCCTAAAACTATATGGTGATTCATTATATTCTTAAGGTCGATAAAATCAGGCACCCACACTATGCAAACAAACAAAATTATTATCTACAAATGTACCAATTACCATGTAAATAAATGTCTCAACCATAAAATAAATTTTGGATAGAATAATTGAGTAAACACTCAAGTATCAACAAAGTTAAACTAAAACATATTTAGTTTCATGCCAATTAATTTGATTATGAAGACTATTCTTGCTTACATAATTGATGGAAAGGCATAACAAGATGAAAACTTCAAATGACTTTGACTAACTTGACAAGCAAATGACAAATGGTACAGAGAAACAAGTGGGTCTTAGAAAAGATAGGAGTTCCTTTTTTTTTTTTTTTTTGATAAGTAAAAAAAAGATAGGAGTTCTTAGCTACATGTATTGATGTAATTAATTCCCAATCACAATAGGTTAACATTAATGATCAGTATTCAGCCCCACTCACCTTACATGAGTATAAATGAACTAACTGGCATATTCAAGAATGGGCTCCATAATCCATATAATATTTGACTGTTTAAAAAAAAAAATTATAATTACAAAGGTTTATTGGAATAAAGAAATTAACATAGAACGTTATGTAAAATCCTACTCTAGGAAAAGTAGAACTACTAAGAATAAATTGGTGAAAAAATTGACCACAAAAGATGATCATTCTAATCATCTCAGATCAATTATTTAAAAGAGACAAGCAATTCCACCTCTAGTCCTTGCCTTCTCTCTCACACGGAGCAGAGTGTGCCAACACACACACACAAAGAGGGCTTAGTGATGGTCAACCTGTCCTGGGTTGAAGGAGAGTTTGTACAGCATTGCGCATAGAGAAATTTTACAATATTTATATCAGAAATTGCCGTCTAAAGTGTAAAAAAAACTTTTTAGTCCTTCCGCCACTATCTATTACAATTCATTAGCAAAAAACCAATCAAATTTACAGAAATGATTCTACACAAAGAAACTTAAATAACACACCGTGTGTATATTAGAAATAAACACTAATTTAACCTGACTGACTTCAAATTAGGGTTTATCTGGATTTCCAACAAAACCCTAATCCCAATAAGATTGGCCTATAAGAAACAATAATAAAAATGACAAAGAGGAACGAACAGAGACCTGCAAAGAAGAGAGTTGAGCTTCCAGCGATTCGAGGGCGTCGCGAATGTCGAGAAGGTTCTCTGTTTCTTCTTCTTCTCGGTCTGCTTCGCCGATTTTCTTCTCCAAAGATGTAGAAGGGTCGTCTTTATCTCCATTTTCTTGTTGATTGTCGTGTTCTGAGTGTGCATTTGGTGCTTTGTGGATGCAACTGGTGATCTTGGATCGAAGCTCGGAGGTTCTAGCCAAGACGAGGCAAATCCCATCTTCGTCCATTGCTCTTTCTCTCTCCTCTCTCTGTTTGTCTCTCTCTAGTTGGAAGTGTTTTGTTTGATGGCGGGTTTGAAAGCGTTGGCACCGCCAAAAAGACCCACCAATGTTTGCACAAGTGATGCAGATGCCCTCTTAGCAGATATGTCAGATAACACTTGCCAGTATTTGCCAAAACCTAGATTCTAATTTCTAACAAACAATCCATCTGTTATTTTCAAAAAAATAATAAATAAATAAACTTATCGACCGTGTTATAAACTTTTTCTCTCTAATATTTAAAAGTCAAGATAGATATTTAATATCATTCTATCATTGCACCTAATTTGAGTTTTTTTGGAGGGCTAATTTGAGTCATTTTCTTACCATGCACAAAGGGGTGTTTTTTTTTTTTACACCTGAATGAATAGAGTAAAATCAAACGGTACAAAAAGTCGCAAGCCATGTATATACACAAGATATTAAGCAGGTGTGTATACATGTATATGTATTAATGGTATCATTGCTTAGAAAGACCATTAAGAGCTGTGCGCAGTTTGAACCTTTCTTTGCTTTAAAATACCATATTACAGAACACAGCAGAATAAACTTCACAATCCACCAATGGATGGCAGCATCTCATCATAGTCTCTGTAATGCAAAATGCAGCCAAGACAATTAGGAATGACAGTCCAATCACAACCATCCCATTTTAGAAAGACTTCAGTGATCAAACCAGCTCCAACTTATGGTACCCAACACTAGCATGAACACGTTGATCATGCTATAAGACAACACTATTTCTCAGACTCAAGTAGGGTCATAATCGACTTGGTATTACAAAAGTTGATCATTCTAGGCTATCATTCTCACTGCAATGAACAATATGTTCACCAACCCATGACCAATCAACTCTATTAACAGGAATTTATGAGGGCACAAGACATTAAATTCTTTGGAATGCAGACGACGGGAACCAAGTTATGCAGTATGTATTCAATTTTCTTCTAGGATTTTTTGTGCCGATTCTTCCTTCGAGAGTTGGGCGTGAATTGCTCAATCATCTCCGTGATAGCTGGGCACAAACACGATTCCTTTACAAAAACAAGGCCACAATCTTTAGTAGAAGAATGTTCTATCCCTTGTGTACCTTGAAGATGGTATAAGCATATTCTTCTTTTGCAGCTTCCAGCTCCTGGAACTCCCCACCTGTGTACATTTAAACTCTAGTGTCATAATACACAGGAAACAACGTAAAGAAGCTTTGGAAATATATATGGAAATCTTGCAAGTCATATCTAATTTCCTTTCGTGTTTGTATCAGTTAATTTTTATGGTTTCAGAGGCCAGCTTAACGAAAAAATCTGACGAAACTTTACACCAGGACAGATAATGTTAAAAACTAATAAAAATAAAAATAAAAAATCGCATTCTTTGAAAAAATATATATTTCCATGTCTTCTAGTCTGTATTTTCCTAGGATTAACATATATTCGACAATTGTAATGCAGCTTGACAAGCAAATTTTTTTTAATGTTGGACTCGTAAAAATAATAATGTTTTGCCTTTACAAGCAGTGTTTGCACCAGAACAAATTAAGGGCCTAGGTATGCCGCAGGATAAGAATGGTTTCCTGAACAAAGTGCCAAACATAAAGGGATTCTGCATAACTCAATTACATTGCTGTCAGTGCATTTCCAAACCTTAAAATTTATTTATCTTCACAAAAACCACCGATAGAAGCCACTACCACAGAAGTAAAGTTCATCAGCCCCATTAGAAACAAAAGTTAGGTGAAGCTCCCAACATAACATGCAGACCATAACCAATTTCTAACAATGAAAGAGATAAGTTTCATGTGAATTTATGAGGGAATAAAATTCAGCAACTGACCACATAGAATGCCATGCCATGTAAGCGAGCCAATGTCTCCAGATATAAATAAATATTTTTATTGTCTGATTTATATGCGGCCTGGATCATCACAAGCTTATAAAAGGTAATAGAACAATGTAACACATTTAAATAAAATGACAAAAGGCTCTCACATTGAGGATTATAGAGATATCAGTCGTGGAATCCCATAAACCAAAAAGTGCCTGTGAAAATGAACAATAAATAGGTTGCATTTGTTCAGTCCCATAAAAAAATAATGATATAATGATAAATGAAGGCTTGAAGCTGGTAATATCACGGAGATTATACAGGCTTGGCTATAGACCATAGCATGCATCACCGGAGCATTGTGTGCACTAATTCAGAAGATAGCTTCTTGTCATGTTTCATCTTTCTAGGATTAACTACTTCAACCAAATAACAAGTGACTTGCAATACAACACTTATCGTTAGAACAAGCTTATTGATACCATTAAACCAGCAAGCAAGTAATAATGAGATTGGTTTTAAGATGCTTAGAACAAGGCACCACTTTTTAATGCCTTAGTTCCAGCTCCCAAAAGCGTCAGGTACAAACCCTTAAAAGCATTAATAGCCGTAGAAAAGTTTAAACAATTGCCAAACACAGAGTTATGTAAATTTCATCAGAAAGGCATTTAGTGCAGGCCCAAAAGGTTCAACATAAAACAGCCTAAAATTACAAATGCAAAAAACTCAAATCATACAAATTTCCATCATACTCTGTTTCAATACTGAGAACACACAGGAAAAAAAACAGAGCAAATTTCTTTTCAGTTTCTCTGCTTCCACGTACAGCATGAATTTGAACTTCTTGTAAAGAAGACAATTACGATGTAGAAAGATCAAAGAAATGGTACAGTAAGAAGCATGACCTAAAATTTTGTAGCAAATGCTCAATTTCTGTTATTCTCTTGACAATCTATGTACATCCATTGCAGTACTTAAGTCTCCATTCATCCTTGAACATGAAAAGGATTGTGGAAGCGTGAATGGGAAGATAAATTTGTCAGCACCCTAAGCTCCAGATATCATACTGAAGTAACTGAAGTTGTGTAGAATATTCACTCATTGATGAAGAGAATGAAATAGGAGATCAAGGCAAACCATGACAGAGAAGGGTCAGCAAGTCGGATATGGCTGGGATGCACTTAATCTTTTTCTCAGAAAGCCAGTTTGGTGTCCATGAAATATGATTGGAAAACAGGAGCCAATATGTTCAGTAGACAAATACATTTCATATACCACCCTCAGCATGCTGATATTACCATTGAAATCACATATATTACTGTGGCCTCAATTATGGTGGGAAATTATTTTATTTCCAGTTTATATATCCAGATCCTCGTCTCAACTAATATGGCAAGGCATTCATGGGAAAATGATGGAGGAAAGTAATGAGCCACATCAGTTGGATGAGAGCGGAATATTCAAAATACGATTAATACTTCTTATTCAAAAGAGCGGAATATCCAACTGTTCATAAATCACTGCAATCTCTTCTTTAAATATGCCAAGTATAAGATAGGCCACTGAATCCAAGATTATCACATAATGATTTATAGCATTTGCAGAACTCAACATCCAAGAAGAATTACCTACAATGTCATCCCGGTTCATCCCCCAGGTAGTGTGAGTCTACACAGAAGTCTCCTTAGCATCCATGCAGCAACTGTTCTAACATGATTCCCCAATGGTAGACCAAAACAAAAGTTCATTAGCATCATGGATATCTGTAAACAGAGTTCGGAACCAGTGGGAATCTCCACACATCAACAAATTTCATTATGAATGAACCTGCTAATCAATGATAGAAACATTACACTCAGAAATGCTCTACCAAAGCCATATACACCTTAGAAAATATTTGAGGATGCACTTGCTCAAACATAAGTTTTGGTAATCAAGTTAGCCCTACCGCAATTGACCTTAGTTTCCAACAAAAGCATTATATCTGGGATTTTCCGCCCTCGACCATATCCCATACCTGATTAGCAAAGTGGGTGATGAAATGGCCACAACCTCGTTCAACAAACACTCAAACAGCAATATGTGCGGTCACTCTGCAAATTAGTAATGTGCTAATTTATGCTGGTACAATGTGCATCTTTCTAAATTTCCAATTCGCTACTGATGCGAGGTTTCACCTGTGATTAAAAGGATTATATAAATAAGACAAATTTAATTGATAAAGACTAATAAAACTATAAATAATATTTAAACTAAACATGTAAGAAGTTAACATGGCAGGATTTCAAAGACTGGTTTGAACTAATTCTGAATATCCTAAATATTATAATACCAAATTGACTATAAGTTAAAAATGAATCACACTAGTAGCCTTAGCACTCAAGGAAGCACCTAAGAGCATCCGCACTGGGTTAGCCAAACGGCCCTTTCCGCAAGGAGCAGCCCAAATGCGCCCGCAGCGGGCTGGCGATAATTGGGCGGGCCCACATGGGCTCGCAATCTGGCTAAAACGCCGTCGTTTTGGGCTTTAGTGTTCATAACTCAGGAACAATGCCTTAAGGCACTGTTTGGCAGCATGGGTAGTTTTGGAAAAAACCAAAAAATAGGTTATTTTGGGCTCATTTATATTTTAAAAAATAAAACAAAATTCATTAAATAAAAAATATATTGTTTCGGCACTGTTTGTCCCAAAAAAAATTTATTTGGGCCAAAAATAAATTTAAAAACCTTCCCCCCCTCCTCTTAAAATTTGATTTTTTTTAAAACTTTTTTTTGTTTTAAATTTTAAATTTATGCCACAAACAGTACATTTGGCCGTTAAGGCATTGTTTGGCTGACACAAACAATGCCTTAATGGCTTTAATTTAAAATTTAAAAAAAAAATGTTTAAAAAATTTAATTTTTTAAAACTTTTATAAAAAATTAAAATTAAAATTTCATTTTCTTATTCCTATAGGATTTTGTAATCCTTATTTTCTTATTCCAATTCATTATTTTTAATCTTAAAAAACCATAACATAATAAAAGTTCTAGTACAAGAAATGTCATAACATTTTTAAAGTAAACAAAATGCAACATAAATTAAACATCTTCACCACCATAGCGGTTCCACAAATTTTTCATCAAACCATTCCTCAACCGCGTATTTGTCTCTCTGTTGCGAATCTGAAGTTGGTGGGAGAATATGTGTGCCACTAAAACCGATGCGCATTGACTTAAAGTAGGAATCGGGATTGCATCCACCGCTGGCGAAGTCCATCTTCCAACATTTGCGTAACACTCATCTTCAATGATCATATTGTGAAGGATGATGCACGTTTTCATTATGAGGCACAAGTCACCTTTCTTCCAATAACGCATTGGTCCTTGCGTTTTTGCCCACTTGATCTGCAATACTCCAAAAGCCCGCTCCACATCTTTCCTGCATGCCTCTTGTCGCGGAGCAAACAAATTTTCTTTTCCAGTGGTTAGGTGCGAAATGGTCTGCATCAAAGTTGCCCACTTAGGGTATATACCATCAGATGGGTAATACTCCATTTTATAGTGATGTCCATTCACTACATAATTAACCAGAGGGAATTGGCCATTGACGATACCGTTGAATACCGGGGAATGATCCAACACATTTATATCATTGTGTGAACCTGGCATTCCAAAGAATGCATGCCAGATCCACAAATCTTGTGAGACAACTATTTCCAATATCAGAGCATACAATCGATAGAACCAAGCATACCCGGGACTCCTCTCTGCTCCCCTTCTTCAAGCAGCCGTGCCATGTCGACTTCGTTGGGTGGCGCATATACTCCTCTGCATACACAGCAACAATAGCATTACAAAATGCCTTCAAGCATTTAATGGCAATGCTCTCGCCGATTTTAATATACTCATCATAGTGATCGGCTGCACAACCATATGCAAGTATACGAACAGCAGTTGTCATCTTTTGTATAAAGGACAGCTCCAGACGACCAGTCGCATCCTTTTTTTTTGGTGGACAAAGTAGTCATCATAAGTTTTGACATCATTAAGGATACGAAGAAAAAGTTCTCATCGCATCCTGAATCGCCTGTGGAAGTACTCCGGTGGATATGTGCAATTCTCGTTGAAGTAGTCTTTCATTAGCTGATAGTGGCTTCCCTCTCGGTCACAATGGAGGCACTGCTTCTTATTACGGACTTGAAATACTTGCTCAACTATCTTTGGCCTCACTAAATTCATAATCTCATAGAATTTGTCTTGATCCTGTTGAATCAACGCGGCAATAGAGTCATCTTCCGAAGAACATGACGAGGAAGAGGAAGAGGAAGAATTAGAGTCTGCCAAAGGAAAAGCTTGTGATAACGAAGCCATTGGAATTTCAAAATTGAAAAAGAAGGAAAATGATATTTTGCTACAATGTTGAGAAATGAATGTAGTATGAGCAAATGAGTATTCATTATATAAGATGAAAAATATAGCCGTTAGAAATATATCCGAAAAAGTTAAAAATAATAATAATAAATTTTTGGAGTGCATGTTTCTGGAGAGCGAAAGCTACTGACGTGACTCTTGGAAAAGCTGAAGTGACATTTTTGGAGAGCCAAATCCAGAAAGGTTGGTGCAGATGCTCTTAACAGAATTCAAAAGTTCATATACAAATGCAAGCTAAATAAATAAATAAATCTACCAACTACAAAATATTATTAAAGATTGTAGACAAGAAACATAAACTGAAGAAATGTGCAAACATAGCACAACAAACCTGATGTTTTCCTCTTCTTGCTACTCTCAACATTCTGATTTTCTTCAATTATCCTTTTTTCATCTTCACCTTAAATAGCAATATAAAAATTGGAACAAATATCATTACATCAATTTTAAAAACGTAAGGGCCTGTTTAGTTAAGTTTTCTAAAAATATTTCTAGAGCACTCAGAAAACATAAAAAAAAACTAAGAGAGTTTTCTGAAAACAGACATTTTCTTGACTTGGGTTTTCCAAAACAGTTCTTAGAAACTATCAACAAAAAAGATTTTTGTACAATTTTCTGATTTTCAGTTCTCAAAACTGAATCGAGCAAACACTAAAGGATTTCTAAAAGGAACAAATTAAGGGCAAATTTTGAAAATCAATAAAGGACAATACACAATATACCAATACCTATATACATATATGTATACCTTCATGAGATTGAGGTGGTGGAATAGTGAAGTGCAAGCAATGATCGAGGAGTCCCCATCGGAGTTTGATGAGCATTTTAGCCCTAAGTTCTCTCCGGCGAATGATATGGTTCCAACCCGCTCCGAGACTGAACGTGCTTCCTTCGTTGGTGAGCTTCACTTCATAGACATGAGAGGTATCGTCATCGACGGCTCCGATTCTGGTCTGGTTCGGATCCTGATCTAAGCTCCGTTTGTTGTGATGGTCCATGTGGTCCACAATGTGTTGCCTGAACGGTCGTCCAGGGAATTGGACCCTCCCTCGCCTCGTGCTCGTATCACTGTCTGTCAGTTCTTTGCTCACAGGCCATAGCTCTGCCTCTTGAGGAGCGTAGTTCAGATCAGATGTCCACGTCTCCATCGATCGGACTCATTGCTCAACCATCCATCCGATAACTATTGCAGCCTCAATCCAAGCTGTGAAATCATCAACCCCAACTCAACTCTTGAATTCCGAGTGAATTTGGGCTTCCAACTCTTTGGAGTTCAAATTTGAACGTTTTGTTTTAAGGGCTTCGTTTGGATAATCAAGACATCAACAAATTCCATCATTTGACCCGTATTGACTATTAAAAAGGAAGGCGCGTGTAACCACGTACGGTAGTATAATTTCTCTAATTATTGAAGATATTAATGTAATTATGACAAATTATAGAAGAGATCCGTCATTTACATTGTTTGAGTTTTATAATTTGGGCTTCCAACTCTTTGGAGTTAAAATTTGAGCATATGAGAGCAACTCCAATGATGATGCAGTATATGGGCTGTCATTTTCAAAATATAGTTGGTGAATTTAAAATGAACTCTTTAATGATGTGTTATTTGAGTTGTTAATTTTTAACTTTGCTAAATCTGATGTCAAATGTAGCATAACAAATAGCTACTCCTATTTCATAAATAGAAGAGAATGACTGCAGGTAAAGAAAGAAAGAGGGGTTCATATATATATATATTAAAAATCATAAAAAATTTCACCGAATAGGATTTTGTTTGCAAAACAAGAATTACAACCTTGATTAGTTGATTTAGGAAAAAAAAAAATTAAAACAAAACCCATACATACTAGACAGCAGTTGCAGAAAAAGCTTCTCATTCTCGTAGATTTTGTAGTTCGCACTTGCAAAGAGAAAGAGAGAGGGCAAGTTCAGAATCAAGAACAAGAATAGAGACGGAGGCAATTGGGGAGACTGAAATGATTTGTCCTATGTGTTGATAAAGTTTGCTTGTTATGTAAATGACAAGTTTACTCATTTATTTTTATATAATTTACATTTTTATCTATTACATTGGATTTGATAATTAATTTTTTCTTTTTTAATCAGACAAATGAGCTAAATAAAATATAAACACTCACAAATATATATATATATATATATATATATATATATATATATATATATATATGGTTATTGAAAATTAGTAGTTGGGAATGGTAATTAGAAAAAAATGATGGTTGTGTCAAAAAATAGCATTTTGGATTAAATATACCATTAAAGCAAAGTTATTAAAATATAGAATTTTGACACTCTAACTCCTCTCAAAATATAGATTTATCATGCAAAAATAGTATTTTACATTGGAGATGGTATGATATAGTAAGGCTTCGTTTAGATAACATGACATCAACAAATTCATTTGACTCATGTTGACGATTAAAAAGGAAGGTGTGTAACCACATTTTATTTTTAGTAAAGGATAGTGTAATTTTTCAAATCATCAAACTAATCCATATAATTATGACAAATTATAAGAGATTCATGTAATTTAGCATAGGTCAAAGTTCATCATGTTTTATAATTTTGAATTAGCACGAGTCAAGTTTATTAGCATGAGTCAAAATAAAGAATAATGATAGGGAGATCGATGAATTAATCCCAAATAAGTATCGAATCTAAAAGTTTTCAAAAATAATTGTTTAACACGTAATAAAAATGATCAACTACGTCAAATTCGATACTAATTCGGTGATTCCTTTTCAATTCCCCTATCATTACTCTAATAAAATAATACATTTACTTTTCAACCTAAGCTCAAACCAAATTGCACTTTACACCATTTAAATTATAAATTTTTGAGTTGCGTATGCTAAAAGCTAGGTTTGCCGGAGTTGCATTCCTATTAAATAAAAGTGAATTCATGATAATATTCAACATCAAGATATTCCAGAATATTATCAAAAATTAGTTTCTCTTTATAGGATGGTAAATTTGCACACAATTAACCCTTTTAAAATCCAATTTGCAACAAGTGACACTTTTCAAAGCCCTATTTATTTTACTTAATGATATTTAATTATTTATTAATTTAGTTTGAATTCACATTGTTGAATTAGTTTAAAGTTTTATACATTCGTGACTCGAGGGTTGACGATGACTAGGAAGTGGGATGAGATAAGATTAGCACACTTACTGTGGATCTAGATAAGTGAGAGATATAAAGGGAAATGATAAATGAAATAGATGGGTGATTAGTCGTGTTAGTTTTCGATATCCATATTTTTCGGCACACCGGTAATTATTATCATTCACAATAATATCGGTCGGTGCATCATGAATTGGTCGGTACAATCTATTATCAGCGTTACGTTCAGTAATTTTTTTTTCTGTACCAATCATATTGGCTTTTTCATGTTTGCACTTTGCAGGCTTGCAGCTTGTTTGTTGGATTAAAAAAAAATAAAAAAATAAAAATAAATGATGATGAAAATTTTAATGTAGTTGTAAAGCTGAGTTCATTAGACAGTGTGTAGAGAAAACTTTCAACAAAAAAAACAATGATTTTCTCTTGGAGTTTACCTTTGATTTGAAGAAAATGGGTTGTGTGACTGTGTGTTATGGACTTATGGCTTTGTAGTTTGTACACAGAGCATAAGTTTGGAGTCTTTTGACTTGACAATTCAAATTTTGAAATTAATAAAAAAAGTTTGGAGTATTTTGACTTGACAATTCAGATTTTGACATTAATAAAAAAAAAAAAAGAAAGAAAAGGATAAGGACACCACGTCATTCATTTCGGTGATGAATTATGAGAATAATATTATGTATTATTCTCAGTATTTTTAACATTAAATTAATTATATGTGTGTCTGTGTGGTATGATATGTGTGTTCATTTATTTTATAATTAAATTCATTTTTATTCATTAGTTTAGCAAAAAGTATAATATTAAACATTTTTATGACGACAGAAACTTAGAATTCATTAGTGGTTCATTACTTATACTAAATGATATTTGAAAATTTCATTAAAAATCACCAAAATTCATTAAAAATTCATCCTTATCGAATTATGTTGTAAAAAGTCACATATCGGTACATTTTAGTCAACATGTGTGTGTTTGAAAAAAATTCACGACTACGATAACCGATAACGTTACATAATACTGATACTCGTCTGGGTCCGTTACACCGCGACTGCGAACCACGGTCCAACTCTTCGTACAGGTAGGCTACCCCCTAGTTTGTTAAGGAAGAAAAAAAAAGAATAGTAATAGTAAAATAGGAATTGTTTGAGAAAATAACTGATTGTTTCATTTTGTGAATAGAGTTATAGTATATTAGGAACTGACTTTTGTAAAATAATAAGGAAAAATTAATAGTAATTAGCAACTATTTTATCTCCCTTCATTTGTACAATGAAAAGTAAATGGATAAAAAGAGAATAAGAATTAAAAAGATAAGAAAAAAAAATATGCTGTTTTCAAAAGAAAAAAGGTAAGCCTAAAAGAAAATCAACCAATAAATGTTTATACTCCAGTGAGTATGGCTATTGATCATCCTTCTTTGGGCGGCTTCATATTTTTAATTGAGTAACATTAAATTATTAAAAAATTAGTCCAATGGGAGGCTGCGATCACTTACCTAACCAAAAAGAAATTTATTGTCGAGTCATTAACCGATTGGTATAATCTCTCCTTTTTCGAATGTAAAAACCCTGAAGTTGAATGTAAAAACCCAACATGTATGAATTTGTGTGAGTATTTAGAGAACCAAAATACACACACAAAAGGTAACAACTTTCTTTCAATGTGAATATAATTAATTAATTATAATGGATTAGTGGATGAAAAATGATATTTGAACCAATAAGTGAGACCAAAAACATTAGCGTCTTAAGATTTGAATTATGGACTAGAATAACATTGCTCTTGGCTACATAAATTCATTGGATAAAGTGTGACCAACACATTCACATAAAGGATCACTTATCAGGAACCTATTACATTAGATAGAAAATTAAACGAAATGGGAAAACATCTGGGTGCCTCCACCCATTATCAATTCAGAGAACTGCTTTTCAAGTTGAGAGCTGTACACTTGCATATGAAACCAGCAGACCAGCAACACTGACAACAATCTAGCCCCACCCAATACATATATATATATATATATAGATTCAAGTCAAGTCTATCACTTCTGGAGGCACGTTGAGGTCAAAAACACCGCCGGTTCCCTTTCTAGCTCGCTTCCGTGATGAGCATTTAGCTTCGGAACTCCCAGAGCCTGAGGGTTGATCAGATTCTGTTGTTCCTGCTAAAAATACATCATGTTATCAGAAACTTAGTTTTTGATGTTTTTTTACGAAAAATTAAGAGTGGCACTCATTAGACATTAGTAATGAATTTAAAGTAGGCTTAGGTAAAATGAATACGTACGTAGAACAGCCTATAAACTAATTTGAGATAAAATAAAGAAAGACCTTAACTCATAACTCTATTATTGAAAATCTTAATTAGACAATCTAATAAAAAACAAGAATCGTATGCATCAACTTTATAATAATCATATTTATTAGAAATTGTCACCTAAGAGTAATACAACAGGCCAAAGAAATGTTATAGAATTACCTTACAAAGCAACTGAAATGCGTATAAGTTCATGATTACACCATGCATTCGACAACTGGCACACCCATAAATTGAGGGTGTTGAGAAGATCAGGGGAAAGAAAGACAGTTATTACTGACTGAATACAAGATAAATTAGTGCTGGGGCCAAATTTGTACAATCCGACAGTTTATCAGCAAAATAAAGCCCAACTGTAAGAAGGAATGATTCAAGTTGTGAAAAAAGACTTGGTAGTGTCTACAAACTACAAATATGGCCCTAGATAGAGCTGAATGACACACAGCTGGATCATTCGGCTGTGTGTTAAGAATCTTCTGGACTCAACCCAACACCTAGGATGACTAATAATCAAGATAAAAGGAAAATCTCACCAGACTAAAGAAATTTCAGAACTGGTTTCAAGATAGCTTTCTAAAATTTATTTTCATTTAGTAGGAGGGTTGGTCTCTGGTAATTTGCATGCGCAGTCAATCAAACCAACTGGCATCCCTACTGTAGGAAATATTGATCTGGAAAAAATAAAATTCATAAACTGACATGAGAGAACTGGGACAGTTCAGCAAATGCATGCTTAATTATCTAATATTAGTGAAATTTTGTTCAAATACCATGTCCATTTTACATATGAACGTGTAGCTTGTATCATTCACAATTTACTCGTGTTCATCAAAATGCCTCAACCAACGCAATGATGTACTGCCAGATGGGCCATTGTTACCAAAAAAATCATAAAAACACAAGGGTCCTCACTGCATAGGTGTGTGTGATTTCCACACTAATTCTTTTTCTATGGTAATAATACAATAAATAGCTAAGTAATGTGGGAAGTAACAAGTTCAAATATCTTTACCATACATTACCATTTGTATAAGCTGGACATTTCTCAGTATTATTGGCTCCGGTACTCCAACAGACAGAAAGTTCTGCTACCCTCTCAATGCCTCTTGACTGGTATGGAGCTATATTGTGGTTACCAAATTGGAAAGAACCCAATAAATCATTCTCAATGCATTCATACCTGGAATAAAATAGTGAGCGCCTGAGTCTCAAGAATCTTAATAAGGAATCTTAGTAAAGTTTGAGGCTAAAAATACTTACGTTTTCTGGCAGAGGAAATCCACTATTTTAGAGAGATTGATGATCTGCACCCTCATCTTCGAAACTTTGTCCCCATCATACTCATCAAATGGCTCTTCTATGAGCTTTGACAGCCTCTCAACATTTGCCTCAAGCTGTTGCTGCTGGTCCTCAAACAGATTTTGTTTTATTTCCCTTTCCGTATTTGTCATCTCATCCTTAAACAAGTCATCACCAAACATGTAATATGCAAATGGGTAAGAATATGATAGAATCAGCCTTGATCTAAAGAGCCTGTAAAGTCCATCTGTAACCCAGCCGAAGTCTTTAACAATCAAACCTTTCTTTTCCAAACCAGACACCTTCCATTTAATAGCATCCTTTAGGTTAGATTCAAGCTTAAAGGAATCTTTATGAGCTTTGTAACGATTATGATAGTGCATGTACCGGTAGAGATCACGCTTCGCACGCTCTGCCTTTTTGCTTCGGTCTTCTTTATAGCGACCACAACTATGACCACTGATCTGTGACCAAGTATGAGCCCGGCCAGTAGCCCCAGCACAAAGCCAGCTATGACAACAGTAAATAAAGTAAGAAAAAACCATTTAACTTAATAAAGAAAAGCATTGACAGCAAGAAAGGCCACATGCTGAGAAACAATGGGTCATAGAGCATGCAGCTAAGAAAAAATATCCAGAAAAACAACATGGAACTTATATCCTGAACAAAAACATACAACAGAACAATATGATCAACTAATTCCTACATTGTAATCAAGTCAATTCCATCTCATATTAAAAACGGACAATAAATTGATAGCATGTGTCAATCTCCGTGTTATCTTGGTAACAAAAGATCGCCAGACATTATGTTGAGGACATTTTCAAATTTGCGTTTACTCCTCAACTTCACCCAATTATCCTCTTGCATGGAATGATGTGTTGGCTTAAAACATATTCAATAAATCAATTATTTGGATTGTCTTCTGAGTCCATAGGTTCTACACTTTTTCGAATATTTTGCAAGCATTTTAAGGTTATGTTTGTTAGGAGGGAAGGAATGGGGATGGAGGGAATAGAGGAAGTTGGAGGGAAGAAAAGGATGTGATGAATGAGCCATACCTCTAGGGCCACCATTTTTTATCCCTCCAAAATTGGAGGGAAGAGAGAAAGAAAGAAAAGGAGAAGTATGGTATATCATGCAATATGACATTATTACCCTTCATCAATTTTCGCAAAAAAAAACTCTCCTCTCTTCTCTTACCAAATAATGGAAGGTGTTACCTATTTCTACTCCCTTCCAGTCAACCAAACAAAAAGAGAGAAGGGCACCTTCCCTTCCCTAGATATGTCTCATTCATCCTACCGCCCATTTTCCATTCTTCGTAACAAACAAAGCATAAAAATTTTCATTGTGCTTCATAGTTGTTTTCGAATCTGAGCAAAATGGCACTTTGAAACAATTTTTTTACATTTGCATGTTGGAATAAATTTTGAAAGGTCTAGGGTAGCGACTAGCAAGTGTAACCTCAAGAAAGGAAGGCAATTTTTTTAAAAAATATGAGTAAAAGGCAACTAACTGTGTTAAAAGAAGTAAATAGCATTTATGCTAGCACCAGAAATATCATTTATAAAAAAAGCATCAAGTCCTCTAGCAGTATATTACAGAAATATGAAACAGCTTCCATATAAAACAAAGGCAAGAAGAAAGAGCTCTTACCAAAATGATTGCCCACAGATGCAACTCACAGAGTTGCAGCCACCATTCTTCTCCACAGGTTTGTGACAATGTGGACAAGGCTTTGTATTGACTGTAATCCAATTAATTGTTTCTGATTCATCTCGACACTTCTTGGACCACAACTCCCACATCAAACATGAGCAAGGAGAGTGTGCTTCAGATAAGCAACTGAAACAGAACTGCAGACCACATGAACATTCAACCTCACAAAATTCATCATCGACGCGAATTGCATTGCCACAATGAGGAACACTTGGGCACCACTTAACCATTTTATTGTCCTCGATATAAGACTCAAGAAGAAAACGGTCAAATTTCTCTGCTAGATGAGGGTGCCTCTTACTGACTAGATTTCGGACAATAGCTTCATCACAAATAGCATGACATTTGTGGGCCATGCATCTAATACGCTTGCTTTGACCTTCATTTATCTTCACAATAAAATGCTCCGTCCAACCTAAATGAAAAAAGAATATATATATAGAATAAGCCCCAAATATAATAAAATAAAATTAAGTTAAATGAGCACAAAACTTTCAGGGTATTATGTAAAATATATGATTGCACAACAAGACACGAAGCAATAAGAATAAGAAAGAACAGTAGTGAATAAATCTCAAACACTGAATATAAGAGTTCCAGAAAACATATATCATCACCATCATTGTTGCCTTTTATTCCATTTATCCCATAAGAATGGGGTCGGCCACATGAATTTCCATAGCATATAGATAATAACTAATTCAATCCATGCAATCATTATAATTAAAGAGACAACCAAAACAACCTGTATGCTACACAGAAGAACAGACAACAGAAGAACTTACAGTTGTTGCAAAAGCAGTGGCCACAATCCATTTTTGTCACCTCACTGCCAGGTATGTCCTCCATGCAGATATCACACATTACTTTAGAAGAAGAAGGTGGTGATTCAAGATCACGATGCTCAATGTCAGTAACACCAGCTTGAGCAAACAAGCTAGCTTTCCCTTTCTCCACAAGCACTGCAAGTAACTTCTCAACATCCCATTGGTAATGAATTAGCAGAGTCCGAGCGTCGCGCTCTCTCAGTGAAAGCAGGTCCACTACTCTTTGCAAATCCTCCCTCTGCATTAGAGTACCTCAAATCATTAGCATTGAATCCACAAATAAATCATTAGCATTTGAATCCACAAATATCATCACAAGAGAAACATAATGGGTTCTTTCTTTTTACCTGTGCAACCAGAAGAGACTCTTTCGTGATGATTACCTGCAAAAGGAAAAGAAAATTCAACTTGTTTGGGAAAAAACAGATAAGGGTAACACACAATACAAACACTCTCAATGAAACAGAAAAACTACTGTTATAATATTGCCTTTCATTCTTAGAAAGGTTTGTCATTTGAAAATGGGGTTAAAGTTTATCCTTAAACGCATTCCTAATCCTTGCACAAATCCAATACCTAAAAATACAGAAAAGAAAAACTAAAACAATGCAAGAGAATAGTGACATGATTAACATTACTCAATAAACAAAAAATAGTATCCCCGTAAATAAAGTACAGATGTATCATTAAGTTAAATTATTCTCAGTTTGTGTGCAAAAATGAAGAATAAAATATTGCATCAGCTGATACAATCAAACCTTCTTTATCATTAAAGAGCAGTTAAATTGTTTTCAAAGCTAAACCCTAAAAACAAGATTGCTATTTCACAACCATAAGGGCGGAATTACCACCAACAATCACTAAACCTCTCAGAATTATCACCAAATCAATCACTAAACCTCTTACTACCATACTGACAAATTCGAGACAGCTACATGAAACCCAGGTGGGCACATAAAAATCTTATCTTGTTAGAGAGAACGATACGGGTAGAGAGAAAAAATAAAAATTTGGAGCAAGCCGAAACAATCAGAAACTTCACAATGACACTGAAACAAAATTTAACACACAGACATATATATAATTATGAATTATATATATTCACATATGTATATACAGAATTGTGTATGTATCGACTACCTTACTGGAAGGAACTGTCGTAGGATCCCATTGCGAACCGGACTCTTTATTCTCCAGTCCGTCGAGCGAGTCTTGATCAGAATAATAATAATCTTCGTCACTACTCATATAATCATCCATCGAAGAAGATCAACAATTAAGATTAATAAATATTATATATATATATATATATAGATAAGTGATCGTCGAATAGATTCGATGATCGGTTCAAGGAATCGAGAGAGATAGAAGAAACTATGTTTCCCGGCGAGTTTGCCGACAAGAGGGCACAGATAGTTTGCTTAACTGCAGAAGCGAGTCGTTAGAGAGAGAGTAATTTTTATGGAGAGGCAAGCCATGGATGGATTTGAGTTGGATTTGGATTGAAATTGAAACGAAATTTCATTGGTATATATGTTGGGGACAAAGTAAATTTAAGAAAGTTGGAATAAAAATAATATTATACTTGTATTTATTAAAATAATAAATAGAAAATTTGTTTTACCGCAAAAAAATGTTTAAAAATATGATTATATAAATATAAATATATATATATATATATATATATATATATATATATATTTACAAGGCTTAAATTAGCAGATGTAGAGTTAAAGTGCTCTAAAATTTATCGGAGGCCATTAACCATTGGCACTCCAATTTCATATATGTCTTGAGTAGAATACTAGAAAATTGTCTAATTGTGCAAAAAAAAAAATAAATAAATAAAATTGCTACGCATTCATTTTACATCACAAATAAAATTTGCTAAACATTAATATTAGTACATGGGTAAATTATTTACTAGAGTGATAATGCTCTATAAAGATTATAGTAAGATATTGAAAAATTGTAAATTAAAGTTGGAGGCTTTACAGATGAAAATTTACTTTATTGAACCACTTGATTTGGGTTCTCTCGAATAATTTTTTCTTCAAAACATTTTGACCTACAACTAATTATTAAAAATATGTCACGTGTGCGTTGTATTATAATTTTATACCCAACTTAATAAAACAAAAATAGGACGTAGTATTTGTTTTAACCATTCGACATAGCCCAAAATGCTAGAAAAAATAAATGTGTGTATGTTTTTTTTATTAATTTGAGTATCACTGTGTCAATGTTATAAATTATTCTAATAATAGTAGAATTGATTGAAAAAAAGATTGACTTTTTATATATAGGGAAAATGATTAATGCACCGATTTGTTAGGCCTATTTATTTTAATTAGTCTATTTATAAAACAAATAAGAGAATAGGACCTCCACTTAAAAAAATTTGATTAAGTTATTTATTGCAACAAATCGGTGCAAGTATCATTACTATTTATAACATGCATAAAAAACAAGGTAGTTTTGAGAAGGGAGAAATAGAAATAGAAACAGTTAGTTTTTTTGAAGTATAATTTTGTATCATATGCTTTGGTAGGAAGGAAAAAAATAAAATTGAATGGAAGGGAGAGAAGAAAGGTTGACTGAGACATCCCTGGGGAAGATATTAAGCGTTTTCTTCTTTTTGTTTAGTTGAATGGAAAAAAATAATAGAAACAGTTAGTTTTTTTGAAGTATAATTTTGTATCTTAAGCTTTAGTAGGAAGGAAAAAAACAAAATTGAATGGAAGGGACAGAAGAAATGATGATTGAGACATCCTAGGGAAGATATTAAAAGAGTTTTTCTCTTTTTGTTCAATTGAATGAAAAAAAAGAAGGAAAAAATCGACAATTTAATTTGATATATAGGATAAAAGAAAATTAAATTCTTTAGTTATTTTTACCATTAGACCCATCCCTTATTTTATTTATGAGATTTATTAAATATTTATAAAGGGTGATGTAGTAATTTAAAACTTCTATAATAAGTTCACTTGCCTTCTCTCATATCTTTCGTCCATATTTGGACTGATGAAAATTTGTGAAAAAATGATCATTTCTATTATCGTTTCTTTTCTTATATTATTTCTATTGAACAAGGAAATTTGTTCCTTCCTTCCTATTTTCCTTCTACCTCTCTTATTTAATTCTTACCTAACATAGCATAAGAAAATATAAAATAATAAATAAATAAAGTAGGAAATACAATTTTCCATAAATTTGTTCTCTAGGAACAGAATTAAAAGAAGAGGAATATTCATAGTTGAGTAATTTAAAAACTATTTCTGATTTTTTTAATTTTTGTTTTTATGATTCTTAAAAACTATTTTTAGAAAATTAAATTAAATAGGTCTTAAATTTTTGTCTGCAACCAAAAGTTGCGTTGCAACTTCTCACCGAGCAAATGGGCATGCGAGTTTCTTGCCAAGATAAAAATACAAAGTTTTTGCGGATCTGTCTCATGCTCTGCAATGCTAGGAGTCTCTTTCGAACCCATGACCTACAAAGTCTTTTTTTATGTCCATTAATTATTTAATTAGATGGTGAATAAGATCAACCTTCAACCCCTATAATATTCCAAACTCACCGAAAACAAAGAAAGTAAAACAGATAAGCCAACCTCATCACCAAAATTAGAGTAAATAATCATAAAATACATACACATAACAAGCTTTCTTCAATCTCATTCTCTATTTGTTGATTTTATTGAACTTCAGTTATAAGTAGAATCAAATCAAAATTACAGTGGAAGAAAGGCAGAAAATGAAAAAGAACAGAGAGTTACAATCACTTCTAGCTGTCCATGTCGTCGATGCTGGTTCTAAAAATATAGTCTTCATCTTCTAATTCATCTTGAAAAAGAGATATAGTAGGTGTTATGTTGCCACTCTCCTTGATTCCGTTGCTTTCTAACGATCTCTGTCCCTGTAAAATACTTCTTATCATTGGTAACATAAAGATGAGACTTTTTTCGTGCGTTTGGATGTTCATTTGAGATAGATTTTTCATTTTGACTCATAGTATTCGAGGCACATTCAAGCATCTAAAATGGAGTCATTGCATATATAATAGTATACGTAATACCATAAATTATTTCAAAAAATCGATTGATGTATATAGATGCGATGCAATAGACTATTCCCCGAATGCTATGCAAAACAAAATGAACTTTGTTTTCCATTTTCACACGACATCCAAATGCCTCCCTGTACATTTTAAGTAGCCTCTAGAAACATTAAAATTATCAAGATTGTGAGATTTGCAAACCTTCTTCAAAATATAGAAGAAATAGTGAAATGCATCACCAAAAGTATTCCACTCGACGGACCAGGTGAATTCTGGAGCATTAAATAACGGACGCCTAAAGTGTGGCTGTAGGAAACACGAATTATGCCTTGGAAAATAGCATAATTAAAAAGAAAGAAAAAATAAGAGGCTACGGTTCTATGTTTTGTTTTACCTGGCCAAAAGTGATTGAGATGAAAATGCCATCTGGTTTGAGAACCCTATGAATACCTTGAAGCATTGTCATTACCTTGTTTACTGTTGCAGGCCGTGGATTCCAGGGGTCACCACTGTCCACGAACAATACATCCTTCAAATTCAAAAATATATGTATGCTTCACTCATTTAACATCAAGTGAAAGACTAAGTATAACAATTTTAGTATTATTGAGATCAAAAGACAGGAGTGCTACTATACATAAAATGAGAACCGTCAGGCATAGTAAGTTTACCATAGTTCCTTTCTCTATAACCACGTCAAAATACTCGTTGCTAAAGGGCAGATCTAGCATGTCAGCTTCCAGCACTTTAATTTCTGATGACAGAAACGACAACCAAAAATTAAAAAAGAAAAACTGATAAACAAAACTATTGTATAAAAATCCCCAATTTTACTGCATACGAATTTGGTCCCTACAATAACTTCACTATTCTCACGCTCAAAAATAATGTTAAAAAATAATAGGAATGGTTGTTCGCTGTGGAACTTATTGAAATCCCATGACTTCTAGACCATGTCACAATATAGGTCTCACAGTACATGTTAAACTGTAGCCCTTTTTGCTCAGCAAGTAGTATTTTGCAGAGACTATATTATAAATCCAATTACCAGTGTGTTGGGTGTGCATATATGCCATTAGTGTTTGCTTTATCAAGTAGCCAAATCTAATAACACGGGGTTATGGCTAAACCTCCTTAACAGAATTCTCTTGTTTTTTAAGGTAACATGATATTTTTATGTAGCGAAGCACTCGATATGGCACTTAATTCATTTCAATTTTCCAAACAACAACATAACTAAAAGAACATAATAAGAGAGTCTTGTGTACAATATATAGCAGTAAGCTTGAATTCTCATATATACTTGCTAGGTAAATGTTCAAACAGATACGTCAGACACATTTATCCCATATCTATGCCCAAATGTATGTATCACGTGTACTTCACACATTTCAAGAGAGTCCATATAATGTGGTAAATTAGATAAGCTAAATTAATGAATATATAATCTATGGCTTGTTGAATATAAAATGCAGTATAAATACAATTACAAATCGATGATTTTTTATGAAGAACAAAAATTCACATCACAAATATCTCAATTTGATTACAATCTTTGACATGGCAATCTTCAATGTTAACCTACAAACCTCAATCCCTTAAAATTGAGGTCTCCATCCCCATATGAGAAACCTTTTATATAAGCAGACAAGTTATTTAAAAATTAAATATTTTTCATCTATCAAGCTTCAAACCTTTATATCCCTTGTATAATAATCTCTCCTTCATTTTCTCCACAGCAATAGCCGACAGATCAATGCAAGTTATTTCAGAAATCCCATCTTTGTACAATTCTTCACACAATTTTGAGTTTCCACATCCTAGTTCCAACACCTGATTTGTACATGACCAAAAATGTCAACTTTTATTAAATGCCTCAATAATTTGATTAAACAAAATTACAGTGAACTCTAGTGTGAGCCCGTGAGGTGTTTTAAGAGAGAGAGAGAGAGGATTTTATACAGAAAGATTGGGTTTGACATGTTGTTGAATGAGATGACGGAAATGAGAGTAGTCTTTGAACCATTCATAATGCTCCTCATGAGAAAATCGCTCATCCCTGAAATTAACAATATAAAACAAGTTACAATAGAAGCCATACGCTTCCTGGTAAGATTTTTCTGGAACAATAAATTCCTCAAGCTAATTGTGGGCATGGAGAAAGATTTTAAAGTTAAAAGTTTTGGTGCAAACTTGAATGAGGAATAATGGTTAAGAAGGTAAAGATATATGATATATCTCTGTGGTGTGATTTCTTGCTCCTGCAAGGGCCTACACACAGTATACTTGTTGCAGAGTTATCTATGTCTCAGGTTTGACAAAAGATGCTACTATAAGCTACAATATTTCAGAAATAAGTAACAGTGGCATGTTTTTAATTTTTGTTAATTAAATGAGAATGAAAAACAGTATGCCTAATGACTTTAAGGTTATATTTTCGTGTTGTGGCTCATTCAACGCAGGTTAAGTATCCGTGATACATATGAAGAGTCAACAAAAGCCTATATTCTTTGACCTGGGTATACTTTGCAAGCACCCAACTATAAAGTTCATATAATTACCTATTTTATGGATGCCTGCTACAAAGTCACACCGGGGGTTCACGGCATCCAATTACATATTTACGTACTAGGCATCAGCTAGTTTTAAGTGTAATTTCATATGGAATTCAGTGAATTGAAAGCTTTGGCAACGACATTTTATAAGGAATGAAGGGCATTAGAGGATTTTGATTTTAAGGATTTAACATCTCGTCTCTCAGATACACACACATATATATATACATAGAACTGGAGAAGGAAGGCTTGAGACTGAGACAGACCTAACATTTGGTTTTTTATAAGTGTCTCGAACTTGCACCAATGACACTGATGTTCAAGTGTTAAACTGTTGGACCAGGCACTCATATATATATATATATATATATATATATATATATATATATATTCATTTATTTTATTTTATTTGGCAGGTGCTTATATATATATATATATATTCATTTATTTTATTTTATTTGGCAGGTGCTTACCTTTGAGAGTAACAATACTGTTAGATGCAGACGATGCCTTTTGAATGGCTCTGCAAAGAGAGCTAAAGATATTATCTGCGGGGGTCATAAGGACTGAAAGATAAACCTATCTTTATGATACCCTTCTCTTAATTATAGTAAATTGCTACTCTTTTTTTATTTTTTATTTCTTTTATTTTGGTGTAATATTCTCATAAAAACGAAAAGGGTTATCAAATATCAACAAATTTAAGATAACGGAATTTTGTATTAAATGTGTAGCTTTGTTTTGGATTCAGTTGAACTAATAAATTAAGCCGACTCGTGGATTAGCTTACGGATGTTTGGGTTTTTAGGGTACATAATAGTATTAAGATGCTTGAACGAAAATGTAATGAATGAACAGAAGGACTAAAATTTTGAAAATTAATAACTTAACATGGTTTAATTTCTTTTTTTCCTAAGCTTTCTTAGTAACCAAACAGAGGATTGAAACTAGAATGAAAATTCAATGAAAAGGCAGTGGGACTCACCAGTAATGAGGGTCGAGGTATGCTAAGGCAGTGGACGGACAAACGACGTCGGTCTTCTGCGTTTCCATCTGGTTTTGTTCTCGATCCATTTGAAAGTCTTCAGTCACCTGCTTATAATTATTCAAAGAGAAATAAGAACCAACAACCCTAAACCCCTAAACTAGTGGGAGTTACAGGGAGTCTGTGAGTAGCGAATAGTGGCCCACAGTGTCTGGATAAATTACTTTTATTATTTTTGTTATTTAAAGTATATTATAGGTTTAGCCAATTAGTGACTTAATTTATCATTATATGAATAAAATAAAGCAAAATTTATTATTTTTATATTATTATTTTGACTTATCTATGTTATATTCGTATTTTATTTGTTAAAAAAAAAAAAAAATTATTGTAGTTTTTAACTTCGCGAGAACGGGTGCCCCTCATAAAGGGGGTTGCAATGACCACGCCCGGTCAACTATTTACTAAAAACACAAGTTGTTTGTCCAATGTCGGAAGGTCAAGGAGTTGGTGACCTACTGATAAGGGAGTCGGCGACCAAAGCCCGGCGAACAACGACCATAACTATAATAGTTTAAGGTAACAAAATTTTTTATCGGGTAAGTTCCAACTCACGCGTAATGATCTGAGCAATGTCTGGAAAAGAGGATCGTATTGTACCACCCCTGTTGGAACATAATGTCCCCTACCTTATGACCAATCCCAATAAAATACCACCTAAGTAGTTCAATCCATTTGATAACGGAATCAGGAAATCCAAGTACAATAGCTTCACAAAAAATTTCTATACATGATGCTCTCACCTATTCTTATTTTAATTTATTCGCTCTCTTCCAATTAAATTTCAAACATTTATACTGAATAAAAACAACAGCTCAGTGCGCAGACCACTCCACCTTCCTAATGCGCTCCACAACTTGCAAATTCTCCACTACTTGGTGAACTATGTCAATCTTACAACAAAATGATTCAAGAAAAAGCCAAACTTTTCAGGTTGAGTTCGATGGAAAGGTAAATAATACATCCCACTTCAATGATCAGATGGTGACCTGTGTAAGCTAAAAAAGGTAAACCAAGCAAGGCACCATGTCCAGCAGCATCCAACGTTTTATCAAGGCAACTAGAAGCTGCTAGCCTGCAGCTACTGCATCCTGCAATTTCAAGAAGACGATCACTCCTACGTGTGACATGATCACACATGTAAGTGACCGTGGCAGTCAACTACAGCATAGCATGCGTTCTGTACTACAAAGGATCCGGAAACCGAGTCTGAGTCCAAGGAAGCTTTATGGACAATAGGCATCATGGAAATCAATAGAACTGCAAAGTAACACCATAATGCAATAAGAGAGATACAGTGTTCATCTTCTGGCGCGGTTGAAGCTATTGCATTGAATGAAAATTTAGCGAACCTAATTTCACTGATGCATCATCGTTTGGCATGGGAAAACTAAAGAGAGTGTTGGGTGAAGTAGAAAAACCAAGTTATTTACTAGGTGGAAACAACACATGAAAATGCAGCTGCAAATGATGGAAAGGATCAAGCTCTAGAAGAACTAAAAGACTATCAATTGCACAATTTCTTTCACACAAGTAAAAGCTTATTGAAGTGGCATATACAAGTGCATTAAAAATAGTACAAGTTGTCCACCACCCAACTTCAAAAATATAAAGTTTACTAGGTAATTAGGGCAAAGACTACAACGAGGCCGACAGACAAAAACAACATCTTCAAAAGCGAATTTATCTGCCGCCCTCCGTTTGAATGCTGATGAAAGCCATGAACATGACCGCCATGAAACGAACTTGAAAACATATACGGAAATCCGGTGGTTGCTCCATATACAGTAGCATCATGAAAACCATGCACATGAAGGTTTAAGGATTGCATCAAACCACCAAAAGTAGCAGAAAATGTTGAGTTCCTAATCCTTGCATTTTCCGTTGGCATGAATCCTCCCATTATTCCCATTCCATCTTGTCGGAAATAGTTTGCACCGGGAGCCTGAGCCGTTTCTGGTCTTTGCCCTGCTGGGCGATTAGGAATTTCAGCTCCAGGTACCGACCTAGACCTTGGATCCGAACTTGTTTTGCCCCTTCCATATAATGGAACCAATTTCTCCTCCTGTATAAGGGCCTTACAAACCGGGCATTCACGGCAATGGGAATGAATATGCAACCACCTATAAAGACAGGGCCAACAGTAAAGATGCCCACAGAGAGTCACAATCGGGTCTTGAGCCAACTCAAAGCATATATTGCACTCAAAATTGCCAGTGTCATTGCTAATTTCACCCGAATTATATGGGCCCATAGATTCACCAATTTCACTATCCATATCAAAACCTATAACTTCAAATCCCTGATGATATTCATATAAGAACACAATTCAGTGATCAAATTCAACATCCAAATGCAGAAACAGAGCTAGAATTGTTACAAAAAACAGAAAGAATAAGAAGAAACCAAAAACTAAATCAAAACATTCACTATCCAAATCAAAACCTATAACTTCAAATGACTCTGATATTTATATACAATCACAATTCAGAGCTTTAATTGTAACATATATCAAAAACTAAACCAAAACAAGCATTATAAAGCTCAAGCCGTGACCTACACTAAAACAAATTAACCATTCTCATCAATCAACAAAGAAATTTCCAAGTAATCTACACATAAACATAAAATTCAACAATTATGCCAAATGTCCATGCAAAAACCCAAAATCCTCATTTAGTAGCTAAAAAAACAAAGGAACCCAGAGAGATAAAAACCTCGAATCATAACTGTGCCTAATAAAAACTTTAATTCGACATACCTAAAATAAGATCCAGAACTTTCTTGTTATTTTCTTTACTTTTCTTTCATTTTCACAGCATCCAAAAGAAGCGTACTAAATTGCAATCGAATTTCGCTCATGAGAAAAAGTTTTCATCGTTATCAATTGCAATTATAAAATAGCAGTAAAATATAGATCCAGATTTCGCTTTCAGTTCAAACCAGATCTAAACCATTAAACAAGGCAATAATATATATACACACACATATACACATACATACATATATAGAGAGAGAGAGAAATTACCTGTGATTTGGTTAGATAACGAGTTGACTGGCCTGAGAAGAAAGTTGTGAAGAAGCGATGGGACTGGAATGAAAATTAGGTCTTAACCGACAAGTTTTGTTTCGTGAAGTGAGACGAACGATTCAAATTTCCGTAAAAGGAATATATAAGGTTATGATAAATTTTGTGAAGGTGGTGGTAATTTGTAAAAAGTTCTGAATGAGGGACTTATTAATAAAATAAAAAATGTGTTAAAGTGGGATAAGGATTTTACATAATAACCTCTTAAGTTTAGAATATTACTTATGATGTTATGGTCATTATTGAGTGGATAACTTTTAGCCGCAAAAGTGTTGTGGGTTTGTTTTACCCAAAAAAAAAAAAAACAAACTTTTAGCCGCCTCTAACGGAAAAAGAAATAATTAGCCGATTCTAAAATTATTATTATGTTATGACCCTCACTTGTTTCAAATTTTAAATCAATGGAAAGTATGACTATCAAAATTATAAAAATTCTCTCTGAAAATTAAGTTAAAGAAGAAAAAAATACTAGAAGTTTAAAATTTTATTTTCTATTTTTAGAATTCTTAAGATATTTTAAAAAATACTTTTCAAGGAATTGAAGCTGATAAATAGTGACTTGTGATTTATAATTGTTAAATAATACTACCTCCCATAGGAAAAAAAATATAATGAAAATAAGGATCTGCTATTTTAAGTAACTCTAATAATAATTTTCTGTTTTCAAAAAATTGTACAAAAGAAAACTATTTTTTGAAAAATCAATTATAAAAGGTTTTATTTTAATAAAATTGTCTTTTATAATTATTTGAAAATAATTTTCTATTCTTTGAATTTTTAAGAATTGTTTTTAGAATTACAAACTAAGTAAACCCTAAATTTCTCAAATTTGAATTAAGGAAAGTTTGGATTTTTTTTTTTTATTATTTATTATTTTTCTAACGAGCAAGTTGTGGTCTTTATGTAAAGCTCCCAATAATTTTCTCCATAAATAAGTGTATCATTTTCATAGTAAGTGTATCATTTTCAAGGTTCATGAATTAATAAAATACATATAGACACCGTCAAAATTATTATATATTCTCACGTTAATTACATGTGGACACATGATTAAATGTGTCAATTTTATGTCAACATCAACTCAATATTTACGTCACTTTTTGTTTATGTGTCAATACGTAATTAGCCAAGACCGAATGTCCGTCACTTTTTGTTTATGTGTCACTGCGTAGTTAGCCAAGACCGGATGTCCGGAACCGCATAATAATATCTCTCATACACACTAATAAATAGGCTTCCACCCGGGGAATCCCTGCATTAGAAAGAAGTTTGTGTGACATAACCAAATACTGGAGAAGCCTGAGATCACTATCCAAATAAAAACAGAAAATAGAGACACAATTTCAAAGATAATCTCATTTAAATAATCTTTTTTACTCAAGCAATCCATTTCATAACAAAATTAAAATCCAAAAAATAGAACAATATAGAAGTATAATTTATAATTAACAGCTATAATTAAGAGTTATTCATATGAGTTATTACATGTTAATGTTATATAGAAATTGTAGCATAATCTAAGATCCCAACATCAATGTCAAGACTCTCACACTAAACATTAATTAAACGTAACTTCTTTTTTTTTTTTTTGGTCAACAAATTATTTCTTAGGATCCCTTCTCCCAGTTCAAATATAATCTCATTTAAAAAGAAAAAAGAATATCATTAAGGAGAGTAGTTGATTGCAATTAATGAAATTTCATTTATGAAAAAAAGAATTCATCTTTGAAATTATAATATGATAATTTCGCTTTCAGTCCGTACTAGATCTAAACCATGAAATAAGGCAAGAATTAAGATATTATATACAACGATCTAGTACGGACTGAAAGCCAAATTACCATATTATAATTTGAAAAGATAATATATATATATATATATATATATATATATATATATATATATATATGGGGTAAAGTGCAAAAAAAAAAACCCGAACTTTACTCTCTCCCAAAGAACCCCTGAACTTCAATTTTTTTAAAAAACCCCCTAAATTATTCCAATTTTTGCAAAAAAGAGATCACTGCAAACTTTGGAAAACATTCAAGTCAGAGGAGGTCCTTCATATGATCCATAAGCCGGGGATCATCTGGAAACAGTAGCCATGACTCATTATCAGTTTCTTTACTTGTAACCACTGCAGTCGGTGTCCTTGATACAAATGCAGAACCCAAAACTCCAGCCTCAGCACCATCACAAAAGGCCCCAGAAGTCTCACTGTGACGATTGGCTTATCTGAACAAGCTAGAGATCCCAGTGCTATTGCTAGGTGCAGTGGTCATGGGTCTAGCATTACCAATTTACGGGGTACTTCTTACTAAAGTAATCAAAACCTTCTATGAACCAGCTCATGAACTTCGGAAGGATTCAAAATTCTGGGCATTCATATTTCTTGTTCTTGCCGTGGCGACTTTATTCTGTGTCCCACTAAGAACATACTCTTTTGCTATGGTGGGGTGTAAGTTAATAAAACGGATCAGATTGATGTGCTTTGAGAAAGTTGTTCACATGAATATAAGTTGGTTTGATGAAGCAAAGCACTCAAGTGGAGCAAATGGCGCTAGGCTTTCTTCTGATGCCACTTTTGTGCAAAGTTTGGTTGGAGACACACGTTCTTTGATCGTTCAGAATGTTGCAACAGCTACTGCTAGTTTGATTATTGCTTTTGCAGCGTGCTGGCAACTGGCTATTATAATTCTTGTCATGATTCCTCTATTAGGACTAAATGGATATTTTCAAAAGAAGTATATGGAAGGATTTATGGCTGATGTAAAGGTTAGATCCAAACCTCGGGCCATAGTAAAAAAAATAACTATGTCTCATAATTAAGAAACCATCAGGGATTCGAAGAAAAGCGACAATTGCTTGTTGTGTGGGATTAAAGTAGTAGGTTGGATTTTGAGGATCAACATTTTTTTTTCCCGGTAATTATTGAGGATCAACATACCCCTCCTTTCAATCTGCTCCGGAGCCTATAAATGTCCGAAAGTATTGTAACACTAAACTAAAGAAATAATAACTATATCTCATAATTAAGAAGCGATCTCAACAAAAACATTTGTTCATAATTAATGTCATTGAATTTTAGTTTCATCCTGATAGTACTAAACAGCTTTCCACCATTTTAGATTTCGGATTCAAATATATGTTCTTCTTTTACAGCTGTGATCTAAGTAGACCAACGTAGTGATAGTTCACAGCATTTGGAAAGATGGCTGAGGAGAGCAATTTGAGTGGAGATATGAACACAGAGCGGGCTGAAACATCAAAAAGCCATTCACCAGTGATGGAGACTCGGAAAACAGCAGAAAAGTCTTGCAGCTAAGATAATTCGGATAATACCCGAAAGAAAATTGAAGTCACTGAAACTGTTCCATGTTTCAAACTGTTCTCCTTTGCTGACTCCACTAATCATGTACTAATGTTTGTGGGCACAATCGCAGCTATAGGGAATGGAATCTGCATGCCCCTTATGACTCTGCTCATTGGAGATGTAATCAATTCCTTGGGACAGAATGTGAACTCAAAAAATGTGGTTCATGAAGTTTCGAAGGTATCTTTAGCTTAACCTTGATAATCACTCCCCCATAACAAGACAGTTCTTGCCAAATTGTCAAAAAAAAAAATTGTCTTGTTCCGGTCATTTATGCCTAAATTTCTCAATTTGTCATTTGTGTGTTCTCCATCCAGTTGTATTAGAAGTATTAGCGTATTGGTAAAATCAGTTATTGATTTCAGCTCCTAACAAACAGTATAAAATTTATTTTCAGATATCTGTTTGGTATGTTTACTTGGCTCTGGGGTCTGGTTTAGCAGCATTTTTTGGTAAGTGCATCAGGCTTCTTCCTGATAAAAGAATTTAGTTTTCTAGCTACCTCATGTAAATAATTGTTTTTGATTAAAGAAACTGAGAAAAACATGTTTGCTAAGTCACAGAGGTGGTTTGCTGGATGGTCACTGGGGAGAGGCAGGCTCCAAGAATTAGATGTTTACACTTAAAAACTATACTGAAGCAAGATATTGCATTCTTTGACTCGGAGGGTAAAACCAGAGAAATTATTGATAGGATGTCAGGACACACCTTCCTTATTCAAGATGCCATTGGTGAAAAAGGTATTGCTACTATAGCAAGGGAGCCCGACCATTATTAGCAATCCCAGTACTCTATTCCTATTTTAGGTTAAATTGGTACTTTTCTTATCAATGTATGTACAACAAGTTGGGAAGTTTCTAGTGGTGGTAGCTTCGTTCTTGGGAGGCTTTGTTATAGCTTTCATCAAGCGTTGGCTTCTCACCTTCGTCCTGATAACTTCAATTCCACTTCTTGTCATCTCTGGTGCTATCATGACCCTCCTTATAGTGAATCTTAAATCCCGTGGACAAGTTGCTTATTCACAAGCTGCAATATAGGTGGTGTTCTATCTATTTTTTGGCACTACACAAAACCATCATTTTTATTTATTTATTTATTTTTTTAATTTTTCCCAGTAAATGGAAGACAAAAACAAAACCATCAACATATATCTAAGCAACGATAAGAAGTCATATGGGGCCGGGAAGAGTAGCCGGGGGTTTACCTTGTAGCTAGAAGTCCAAAGGGCGGGTAGTTGCTAGGGTTCACACGTCATCAAAGAAGTCAAAGAAATTCAAAGGTTTCAAGAAATGCTGGAAAATGGAAACAGAAAAGGCACAAGACTATTTCATGAAATATGAAAATAAGAGAAGGGTGAAAAAGGAACAGGAAAAGAATCCATCCAACCTGCAATCATTTGAAACATAGAGCTTGAGTGCCACTTTGAAACCTCTGTAACTTCACTTCAACTGCTGGTTCTTGTGGGAAATAAAATCACAGAAACCATATTTTGTAATATATAGAGCATAAATAGACCAGAGACTGAAGGAAAGGATGAATTGATCATAATCAGAACAAGTTGATATCAGAAGTATCATCAACTTTAAACTCGCCAAAATATGGAAAAAGGGTTACCTATGAAGGATTCCAGATTTTGTGAAATCTGCCCTTTGATTATGGGATCCAACCTTTCACACCACACAACCCGAATTTTCAAGACTTATACACATATATATTTTTTTAATGGATTTGTAGGAATTGATTACATTGGAAAGATTTATTTTTTTATGTCAGTGGGTTAGGTATTCATCTCCTTTCTCCCTCTCTCTCTCTCTCTCTCTCTCTCTCTCTCAAACAACTCGCTTGTTACTCAGGGCCGGCCCTGAGATTCCAAATCTATCATCACCAATAAATAATTGTGCGCATGTGCAGTGTGCATAAGACAGCTAACTAATAACAATAAATCTATCAATTAAAGAGTGCAAAATTTTCACAGGCACAAAATAAAAAATGAAGAGAACAGTTTATTGGATAACAAAAAACTGCAGCTTCTTTTACATTCATTGCTTCTACTAAAATTTGATGATTACAGATAACAAAAATATGTGGAGATGAGGTGACTATATATATTATAGGAGCCCTGAGATTCCAAATCTATCATCACCAATAAATAATTGTGCGCATGTGCAGTGTGCATAAGACAGCTAACTAATAACAATAAATCTATCAATTAAAGAGTGCAAAATTTTCACAGGCACAAAATAAAAAATGAAGAGAACAGTTTATTAGATAACAAAAAACTGCAGCTTCTTTTACATTCATTGCTTCTACTAAAATTTGATGATTACAGATAACAAAAATATGTGGAGATGAGGTGACTATATATATTATAGGAGGCTGAACTTGTAGTACTGAAGAAGTAGTGGGACTTTTAGATTATATGTGGATTCCAAATCTATCATCACCAATAAATAATTGTGCGCATGTGCAGTGTGCATAAGACAGCTAACTAATAACAATAAATCTATCAATTAAAGAGTGCAAAATTTTCACAGGCACAAAATAAAAAATGAAGAGAACAGTTTATTAGATAACAAAAAACTGCAGCTTCTTTTACATTCATTGCTTCTACTAAAATTTGATGATTACAGATAACAAAAATATGTGGAGATGAGGTGACTATATATATTATAGGAGGCTGAACTTGTAGTACTGAAGAAGTAGTGGGACTTTTAGATTATATGTGGCATCCACTATCATATATAGTTTTGTCTTTCACTCTTTATATTAAATACACTACACTTTGTGTTTGTTTTTTTTGGCAGCCAATTACACCATTCTTGATTTCAGGATGGGGAATCAACTTTAGTAGCAGTGATTGGTTGATCATTGCTACAGAATACCTGTGCAAATTAATAGAAAAACCATTAACTTTTGTTTTGTTAAAGCCTGCTCTTGATTTCCATGTGTTAGTACGTTCTGATGGCAAGTGCTTTGAGTCTTTGACACTATTATTAACTGAAATTCTAGCTGAGCCAACTTCACAGAACATCAATAATGGTGGTATGTATCTTCATATAAAAATATAATATAAAAAAACCCTTAATTTGGCACTGACCATAAGTTAGAGATCGAAAAAGTTAATTATTACCTCAACGGCGGCTCAACCCACTAGAAGGGATTCTTAATTTTCGTAGGATTGAATGTGAAAATGCAAAAAACTATGAGGAAAAGGGGTATGGTTGCTGCTGTTCTGAGATTGGAGTGGAATCAGGGAGAGGAAAAAAAAAGAAAAGAAAAAAAGTACCTGCCATAGATTATGCACTCGATCGCCATGAAAGACACGTGTAGAAAGGCACACATTTATTAAAATACTAAGAGAGCCATAATATATTCATTCAGCTTTTGATAGCCATCACACACAGTGACACACACACAAAAAACCCTAGTTTGGAAGCTACTTTTCACTATTGGAACAAAGGTAAAAGCCCGAATCAAACGAACCAAAGTTAGACCAAATCAAATGATGAGATGAACGAAAGAAAGAAACATATATAAAAGATCGATTCATGCAAAAGGAGAGAGAGAGAGAGAGAGAGAGGATGAACATACCTTGTCACCTGAGGCGATAGCGGAGGCTGCGCCCTGCGGAGTGTCGAAGCACATTATGTCGTCTGAAACTTGCCCTTACTTTTTTTCCCCTATGGGCCTCAAAATTTGAGGCGTCTAAAATTTGAGGCCCATGGCGACCAAGACTTGTCCTAACTTAATTTTATTTTTTACCATCCCTATGGGCCTCAAATTTTGAGGCCCTCTAAAATTTGAGCCCCAAGGCGACAGCCTTGGTCGCCTTGGGCCAGGGCCGGCCCTGTTGTTACTTGGTACTCCATTTTTGTGCGTGACTAATTATTATTTTTAATGCATTTTACCATGAAGTCATATTTGTTTCTTCTTACTAGTCCATGCAATGTAACTGTAAAAGCATCCAATATTTGTTTCCTTCTCTCTGTTAATTAAAGTGGGATCAAAAAGGTCATTTTTTTAACTCTATATATATATTGTTAATTCTTCAAATGATTAATTCAAAATAAATAAAGTTTTAGATAAATCATACTTATATATGTCTGTGTATTATATATATATATATATATATATATATATATATATATACTACTACTACTAACAAAAGTAGATTCGTTTTCTAATATTTATATACAATTTATCAGTCATTTTAACTCAATTAATATATTAAATCAGTTATATAAATTTAGTCAATATATGTGACTTTTCACGTACCATGTGAATTTTCAAGCAATTGTTTCATTGTAAATTATTATATTCTTCTATACATACATATATCATAATGAGAAAAGTTTCTTATATTTATATACATTTATTCAGTTATTCTAATTCAAGAAATATAATAATCTTATACGAGAATTTTCATACATTACGTGGCTTTTCACGCAATTGTTATCCTTCAAATTATTACATATATCATAACCTGAAAACTTTTCCAAAGTTCATCACTATTTTAAATAGCTAAAAAACCTATTCCATATACCTCACTTTTCACACATTTGTTTAATGAAAGTTTAACTTCTTTTACAAGTACATATGTAATAATGACAAAGCCATTCTAAAAGTTACCTTCTAATTAATACCAATTCAACACCTTCTGTATTTTAAATTAATAAATAAATCTCACTTAAAAGACACTAATATTTTCATTTTAAGAACAAAATATATAATTAAAAAATATTTTAACATTACTTTTTGGAATAATTGCCTCAAGAAGATGTTATTTTAACTAGAGTTGTCTCCAAATTAAAATACCTATTGTGTGGGTGTGTGGGTGTGTGGGTGTATATATATATATACACACACTTTAAATCATAATTTTTAGTTAGTTACGTTAGGGTTTTATTAATTAAATAAGTTTTTAAAACTTCCTATTGAATAATAAAATTTAATATGGAAATGTGTCAATATTGAATAGTCGCGTCTACTTACTAGGGGTGTGGAGTAGCCTATATAAGGTTCCTCTGACATATTGTATATAAGTTTTAACGTGTACTGGGTACCTTTATGTAATTTTTCTATGTCATTATCTTCCTTTCCTAGAACCAAATCTATTGTTATTTTCATTTCGCTATATTTGAATTTATGGGCAATACGACAGTGTATGCGTGAAAAACATTGGAGTTATAAGTACTATTGCTTTCCTTTTTAGTATACAGGCTAAAAATTTCTCAACTTTTCTCTTTAATTTTAATATTTGATTTTATATTGTATTTTAAATTTTATTACGGTTAGATGGAAACACTGGAACTCTTATTTATATATATATTTTGAATTTTATTATTGTTGAATAAAATTGTTGAAAGTCGTGTCATTAAGAAAACGTAATATAATGAAACCAAAACACGTGGGATAGGTAAGTTATTTGTGTTGGTTGAAATTGAGATTCAATTAGTCTTACCGAAAAATTTAATCTCTGAAACTTTCTCTAAAAAGGAAAGGAATAAAACGTTTTGTTTCGTGTTATATACATCACTCCATATATATACATTTTAGACTGTTAAGATTGTTTAAAAATAAAAATTCCATTCTCATTATCACTTTATCTCAAATACTTTAAAGTGGTATTTCCGGTTTGAACAGGACTATTAAAACGATTTTACAGATTGAGAATTAATTTTTTATTTTTTTAAATTTTTTCTTGGTACCTAGAACATTCATCAGCACGGAAAACATTTGAATCCATATTAAATTCTCATAAAATTCAGTTTTTATTAAATAACTTAACGATCAATGTTCTAGAAAATTCTAATTGTTTATGCAAAACAAAGTATATATGAGAAAGAATAATAAAACCATGTTAGGATTCATCCTTTTGGCAAACAATCAATTATTAATTTTAAAATAGAGATATATATGCATTGGAATTTTTAATAAACGCTGCTAATTTGAAATTTATTTATTTATTTATTAAAGTTGAGTAATAGGTTGCTATCTTTAGCCAGGATGCACTGATTATGTAATTATTTATGGAGGTAGTTTGATTGGTACTCACCTTCTTTGTTTCGGTTAATATCAGTATTGCTGCCTTGACATTAATTTCTATAACATTTAATCTCATACTCTTTTTTTTATTAATGATTTAAATATGCAATTTTGTGCTAGTATCTTCTTTTTATTATTGTGCTAAACAAAAAATTTATATCTTCTTTTTATTTATTAACTTCAAAATGCAAGGTAAATTTAGTTTGAATTGCATATAATTTAATGTAGCTGGTAACAATTTATTTTACATATATTAAGGAAGGAAATCTAGTTGTTTTCAACAATTATATGTTTTATTATATTGAACTAAATTTTCACCACGTGCAATGCACGTGCGTAGATAATTCTATAAAAGTGTATTTGAATTATAAAATTTATATACATTTTAAAATAATTAATTTAATTAAAAAATATTATTACGTGAATTTTCAAGTTTCTCATTTACATTGTTATACACCAATCATTGCATTGTTCAGGATTTCAACACTTTTTGATATTCTTGCTAATGCACTTTTACACCTTTAGATGGATAGATTTACATTCTTAACTATCGCACCTCTTTGCAAAGAAAGGGAAAAAAAACAAAGAAAAAAAAAAAGGAAAAAAAAAAAAAAAAAAAAAAAAAAAACAACTCTGGATTGTTTTATATACTTTGGTTGTCTTCTTTTATAAAAAGTTTCTTTTAAATTCAAACATTTTTTCCTTCATTATAAGAGTTATTGTCCAATTAAAATATATCATATCTCAATTTAAATTATTTTGTATTTATTATTATCATTTTTACAATAAAAGAACATGTTTTGCTTAGTTAAAACTATTGAAAGTATATGATCATATAAAAAAATTAGACAGATATTTCATCTCCCTAAATTACTCTCCTGCTCTCTCTCTCTCTCTATCTTTTTATGCAAATTTTTTTGTGCAAAAAGTTATTAGATATTTTATTCACGATCACCTTTGAACCCTTTTTGCTGGAAGCACATCTTCAAATTGATTTTCAAGAAAAGTAATGGTAAAAACTTCTTATAATTGAACAAACATATCATTTCATGAATAGGTCTGTAGTAGCCTATAAATAGTAGAGTAGTCCAATAATTTTTTAAATTTCCTTCTTTGTCCATGCAACCAATATACTATCTCATATTATGTATATAAAGTGTATTTGATTTATAATATTTATATACATTTTAAAATAATTAATTTAATTACGTGACTTTTCAAGTTTTCCATTTACACTGTTAAAACTACTGGCACCTATTTGCAAAGAAAGGAAAAAAATAAAAAAATAAAACAAAACAAAACTCCAGACTATTTTATATATTTTGGTTGTCTTCTTTTTATAAAGTGTTTCTCTTAAATTCAAAAAAGTATTTCTTTCATGAAGAGTTATTGTCTAATTAAAATTTACCACCTCTCAATTTAAATTATTTTGTATTTATTATTATTATTTTTACAATAAAAGAACATAATTTGTTTCCTTAAAACTATTGAAAGTATATGATCATATAAAAAAAAGTAAACGGATATTTCAACTTCTTAAATTACTCTCTTGCTCTCCTGTTTCTATCTTTCTTGTAAAGGTTTTTGTGCAAAAAATTATTAAATATTTTATTCACGGTCACCTTTAAACCCTTTTTGTTGGAAACACATCTTTTATTGTGTATCAAAATGGTTTTCAAGTACTTTAACCAAAAAAAATTGGTTTTTCAAGTAAGTTAATGGTAAAAACTGCTTATAGTTGAACCGACATATCATTTCATGAATAGGTGTGTAGTAGCCTATAAATAGTATAGTAATCAAATAATTTTCTAAATTTCCTTCTCTGTCCATGCAACCAATATATTCTCTCTCTCTCTATATATATATATATATATTTATGTTGAATCCATGAATAGTATGATAATGGAAGAGTTGGTAAATGTTTTTTTGTGAACGTGACAATCTTGGAGCCTTTCAACTCTCTAACAGGCCAGAAGTTTCTTATTCTCTATTTTACTCTAATACGCTTTTACTGATATTTTATTGGGCTGTTATTATTTTATAATACTTTATTTCAAAAATCTACTATCCTTTAAAATACTCTCGACGAATTTTAATGGTTTGAAAAATAAATTCCGACTATGTGTGAACAACTTTAAGGTCTCTATATAATATGCTATCATGTATATTATATTTTATTCAGTCATACATAACAAAAAAATAAAATAAAAAATAGATATAAGACGTGCACATATAATTATTTAATTTTTATTGCATATTTTTAAATCTATTTATAAAAAATGTAACGTGTTATATGTCGTATTTATAAACGTACTGTTATATTCTAATCTCTTGTACAATTGATTCAATAGTCTTTTTCATTGCTTTGCAAAATAAAATTATATTCTTTAATTGTTCGGCTATATATACCACAAGAATATTAGGGTTTGCATAAGGTTGGATAAAGGGAGTTTGAAGATGATGAAAAGTGTTATTTATCTCTGAGATTAATAGTCAAATAGTTATTCGGATGATGAATGATAACTTAAAGTTTTGAATTTATTTTGCTCTAAATTTATAAATACATAAACTAAATTAATTTAGCACTTTTATTTAATTTCATTTTAGATTTTAT